ACAAAAAATCTTGTAAAAAACACAAATTGAAAATTTCATTAGATTAATTAAATCTAATTGAATGCTTTATAAAATAACACTTACAACATTATTTACTTGTATCGGCTAAAGTCAATGTACTTGCTTTATTTATTTGTCAATCCTACTAAAAAAATATATATTATCTTCATCCAAGATAGCGTGTCTAAAATACCGTCTAGATAAAATTTTAAAAAATTGTAATTAGTGTTATAGATAAAATATTAAGTATGAAATTAATAAAAATAATTCAACAATACAACATGACAATTTGCAAACTTTTTAATAAAGTTAATGCACACGTTTAACAAGATGGTGCAACACTTACTTGGAACTTACTGAGAATGAAGGAAGCCGGAAAGAGGGAGTTTAAGTGAAATAATATGTTTATTCAACTGCTTTATATGGACAGCTTGAAGGCATTGAAAAATTGCAAAAGTGCAAATGAAAACAAGGTGAATATGTGAGCATATCTAGAAAAAAGCTTGTGATAAAAAAAATAAGAAATCACTAAATATGAATGTAATAGAAAGATTATCCTTGAAACAAAGGTCTTCGATAAGAAATTTAGCAAAGATGATACAATGTTCAAAATCAACTGTATACACAGGTGGTTAAAGAGAAGCATATCAGATCTCATATAAGTGTAATCATGTCTAAACTCACAAATACTAACAAACTAGCAATGTATATTTTTTAATACAAACCCTTGATGCATTGATGAGAAATTGTTTTATATGACAAAGACTATGCATCGATTTTACTTGACCCCCACGGAGAATGATTCACATAGAACTTAAAAAAACAAAAAGTTCACCACAAAAATTATGTTCATTTGTGCAGTATCCCCAACCTATATGGGATAAGGATGAGACTTTATTGTTTGATGAGAAAATGATAATTATTTCATTCACAGAACAAGTCCCATCAAGAAGGTTAAGCAAAAATCGAGTGACCATCACATTAGAGATTAAACTAGTCCAATATGTAACAAAATAGATTAGTAAAAGCTTTTTGATTAATCAGGTTAGCTTAATTTTCCTAGATAAAAGCCATAAAATGTAAGAAAACATAATGTCAATAACTTCTATAATCTTATTTAGAATAAAAGATGAACTATTTTATCTAATTCGTTGTTGCATTTCAATCTATATAAGTACCTAAGCTTAACTATGGAATGAATGTGTATTTATGCAGATTATCCTAATAATAATGGAAAAGTGGTCAGCCAATCTAACAGATATATATATTCATACAACAAGACAATGCACAACCACATATAAGAGGGGATGATCCAGACTTTGTTCATGCCACTATTAGTGATGGTTTTGACATTGTTCTTATTCAACAACTGCCTATTTTTCCTAACATAAATGTGAATGACTTAGAATGGTTTCGAGCAATCCAAATGGTAGCCTCGATGCTTCCAATAAAGATTCTCTAACACCACGTGTAGCAAGTGATGCCGAGGTCGATCCACAGGGACTGTGAAGTTTAATTCCTATATTTGTCACACATTCAAGTATTTGGGGATGGATTAGCAATTCACTAAAATAATTAAAATAAGCGATGAAAAATAAAATTTAGATTTCAAAAAGATTAAACTTCTAGCCCAAGGAGTGAATAAGAAACCGGATTAAAGATTCGATCATTGATTTTAAATAATCTTTTTATTCAACTGATAAATTGGTTATAGGCATTAGATACGATCATAACGCCGAATTTCTCCTTACTTTATTGGCGGCAATGGTACTACCGATTAACCGCATCCCTAATCAAAGAAATAATCTAGGTACGACCATAAATTAATTTGTCCAATTGAAAATAGCATGAGAAAAACCCAATTCAAATATTTAATCAATTACGAAAATATTAAATTATTTGATCATGTGATTCCTAGGCTAAGCTTGTTAACTTATTTACCACTTTATGAAACACATACACAATTACGGATATAAATGTTCAATTGGCACACAATTGCTAAATCAATCTAAGATCCGGCCACGATAAAAGATTAAATAAAACAATTGCAGACATGAATTGCAGAAATCATACAAATATCAATTTACTTAAACAAGATTCAAATTAAATCAAAACACAATCTCACAAATCCCAATACAAAATCTACATTCAACCTTGGACTATACTAGGAATTTAGCTACTCATAAATAAATAAATAAATAATACAGTAAACTTGATGATCATCCGAAAGTGCTTCATCTCTAAACGGCCTTCTCAATCCTCCACTTAGACTATGAAAAGTGAGTATGAATTGTGATACCACATCCAATGTCTTAGCTCCTCTTTTATAGATGATCGGGTCCTCAATCACTCCCTTAATTGTTCCTTATTACTTATGATGCCAACAATCAAGCTTTAATTCCCGTAATCCACCTATTTCCTTAGCATGGGAGCTTAATTCAAGTCTTTCCAAAATTCTTTGATCGAAAATATGGCATGGACATGAATCGCTCAATTGCCTTGCACAAACCAATACATGCCAAAAATGAGCATGAATCTATCCAAAACATTGATCAAATCTTATAATTTATCTCTATAAAATATATAACAATACATATTTATCACCAGAGTTTACAAATAGAAAAATCATGCAAGAATGTCGATGAACTATTGGATGCAGTCGATGCAAGCTTCAAAGAATTGACATCATAATGTTTTAAACAATGTATTTTTAAGTTTACAAAGTTGCATGATTAAAGTAATGAAAGCAAAAGGAGACAACTCATACAAGATCCCAGGTATGAAAAGAAACAACTTGTTTAGAGTTGACAATCTCCCAAATCACCTAATTGTTCTTATAGAATTAGTGCATAAATGCATTTAATATCTAATTGGAAAAAAGTGAGGTGAATGGATTTGAAGGAGTTATGATCTAGGATACTAAAAGGTAGGAAAACGTTTATGCAAAACTCTTGTGAAAAATCTTCTATTTTTGAAAACATCACTGAAAAGTTTAGTGCAAATTTTGTTTTGTAAATGTTTTGAAATTTTTTTTTTGGATAGGATAAGTACATACATATGTAGTGACATAGGAGTAATCTTTGTAATGAATGTCATTAAAAAGTTCAAAATATTTGTTTTCACAATTTTAACTCAAGTTCATGCTCAAGAAATCGAGTTTACGAGTGAAAATATGATAACTTTGAATATATTCAATAAGATCGGAGAGAAGAAAATGAATATCAATCCAATCCAGCAATGACAAACTACTAATCATTCATTAATAGTGAGCAGAGGGCATGTACACACATTATTGGGACATAACAACCACATATGGAGGGATATCAAGATGTATCAGAATGAAGGTAAGACGCAATAACATTCACCACAACCAAAGTAAGGAAAAAATAAACCATAACACTCAAACAAGACATACATTGCAATAAACTCAAAATTAATTCTACAACACTGAGTGATGAGTAAAAGTTGGTATAAATCTCACCAACATTCTCATAAGGGACGTGTTCGTCGGAACGATTAGAATAGATAAGTGGTTTTCTCCACATCGTGCTCAACCTCACGCTCATCTTCTGAGTCAGGGATGAACCCAAGTAGAAATCAAACATTAGCATCATCGGTAGTAGATTCAATGCCGCCATCTAGGCCCACATCCTTTTTCGGCATAGCTCAAGGAGGACGAGCAATTGTAGGCGCTGGTTCACGAAACCGAGCACCGACTTTGACATCCAAACCCAAATCGAAGAACTCCTCCCTGTTTGGAACCTAACCATCTTCTCCTTCGCTCCCTCCTAGCTTCTTCTCGGAAAATATGAACAGATTGGTGTCGCCGAAAATAGTTTGAAAAGCAAGTGTTCGGATTTTACTAGATTTAAGGACGGCGAAAGAAGAATAGCCACAGTTAGGACAACAAGGGTTTATGATTGGGGTAGGACTTGGAACACATGGAATCGGAAGGATAGTCGGGTTTTTGGACATTGAGGAGAGAAGGGGGAGAAAAAGAAAAGAGAGACAAAGAATGAGGTGGATATGGTGGGTAGGGTAGGATTGTAAATATAATTAGGTTAAATTAAGAATTTTAAATTAGGTTAGAAGTAGCCAAATATGGAAAATGACAAAATATATTAGATAGACACAAATATAAAGAAGAACATGATAAGTTGGACAAAAAGAATATTTATTTTTTATTATAGTAAAAATAATGAATATACAAATATCAAAATATTTTTTATTTTTTTATTTTTTTTTAACTTATAAGCATAAAAAGATCAAAATTATTTTATACATTTTTACTCATCAATAAAAATATTATTATTTTTAAAATTTACTACAAAAAGTAAAAGGATACATTCAATCGATACCGAAGAAATATTATATTTAAAGTATACAAATTATAAAAATTTGTTCATTTAATATTTTTGTTAGAAACCCTTTCTTATGAATATTATTTTAAAAAATACAATTATATAAATTAATATAATATATATATATATATATTTTATCATCTTACATAAAATCAATCATTCAATACAAAATATTATTTTTTATATTACCAATTCAATTCCAACTAAGTAACATAAAAGCCACATTTAAAAATACAAAATAAACAAACTATAATTTCACCTTTTTTTTAATACATTATTTAGAAGTTTAAATTTTATCCGTAACTTGTAAATATTTCTTTGGATTTAAAAAAAAAAAAAAAAAAAAAAAAAAAAAAAAAAAAAAGGTAAGAACGTAAAACCGAAAGAAATATTAAGGTAAATTAAAACTAAAGGAATCTTGTTATTTTATATCTAAAAAAAAATGTCTAGTAAGAAGAAATAGAAAAATTCATTACATAAATACAATGGAAATGCGGGGGATCGAACCCCGTGCCTCTCGCATGCAAAGCGAGCGCTCTACCATTTGAGCTACATCCCCTTTGCTGTTAAATTATTTTTAAATTATTCTTTACCATAACTTAGTCTGATTTCGCTAAACCCAGCCGCCGAGGGCCAGAAAAGGCCACACTGCCGTATTCCGGAGGTATACAGTCCTCGTTTCTCTTTGCAAACACGCGCACAGACTCGTCGGAGGGATGGATTTTCAAGTGGTGGTGTTAGCTGGCGGATTTTCGAAGGCCTTGGTTCCTCTAGTGTCGAAGGTTTTTTGGTTCTTTTTGTTTTGCTTTTGATTTTGTGTTTTTTGAATTGTGCTGGGAAATTGTTGATTTACTTTTGATGTATGGAAGGTTATGTTGGATTTGTAAAATGTATGCAGGATGTGCCGAAAGCGCTTCTTCCGGTGGCGAACCGGCCTGTTCTGTCGTATGTTCTCGAGCTTCTCGAACGGAGCGGGCTAAAGGATGCCATTGTGGTGAGTTTGTGCTTATTCGTTTGTGTTTTGGTGTGTGATTGTGTTTGGAGATGGAAATTTGAGATTGGTGGTTTAGGTTGTTGAAGGGGAGACCGCTGCTCTACTAATAAGTTCTTGGATTTCTAGCGCTTTTGCCGATCGGTTAAATGTTGAGGTAAACTCTCGATCCATGTTTTTGTTTCCACAATATTTTTCTCTGCCCGTCGATTCATCTCATCTCTGATTGATCTGAGAGGCCAAAAAGAGTGTAAGGGGAGGGGGATATGACAAGTCTGATGATACTTAAACCTAAGAATGTACTGCCATCGTCACTTTAGGTTCAGAAGATGATGTTTGTTAATTTTTATATAAGATAAGATAAGATCAACAAAGTCTCAAACTGTTTATCAATTTGAAGATTACAGAAGAGAAAATTGTACAACAGCTCACAATCTATGTGTTTGTTTGTGTTTGGGGTTAGATTTAATATATTTATATTTACACGAAACCTGCGTTTTCGATGTGTTTTGAACAAAAAATAGTCATTGGATGTAATGTTTTGAGTAGAAGATGTGTTGGATATCATACTTTTTCTATGGAGAAAAAATGATTTTGTTGTAGATTGCATTGTGCGAAAACAGCAGGGGAAACACAACAAAACTGTGTCTTTGATCATAGACAATTAGGGAACGTATTCATGTCGGCATTGGGCAATCGTTGTGGATGTAATGAACTTAGGACATGCTGAGACATGACCCGGCTGCAGAATTCATTCTTCTTGTGAACCTTTGTGAACTATCTTATGTCGCAATAAACTAGTTTCTTAGGCTGGCTAATAAAAATGATTTAAGATTTTGATCTCAAAGAATCAATCCATCATATTTCATAACAATACTTGGTGGATTCTGACACTAGTGCCAGAATTGTTGTATATTTTTAAATGTGACTTGTTCCTTCAGTGATAGGGGGAAACAACTTCTCCTGTTGCTGAATATCTTGCTGTCCATGCTACGGGGGTTGACTTAGCCTATGTAAATTTAACGCTTAACAGTATCCAGCACGTTACTCCAATCACAAGATAGTTTCTCCTGTTCAGTATCGTAGTTTGAATTTGATCTCTGATTCTTGAAGGTGACTGCAGTTCCTGAGGATGTTGGTACCGCTGGTGCTCTTAGAGCTATTGATCACCGGCTGAGCGCAAAGGACATCTTGGTTTGAGTTTTGTTCTATAACTAGGTTTTTCTTTAATAATGGTGTAGTCTATTGAAGACATGACTTTTCATCATATAGGTTGTGAGTGGTGATCTAGTAAGTGAAATCCCCCCTGGGGCTGTGGCTGCTGCCCATAGACGACACGATGCTGTTGTTACTGCGATGCTTTGCTCTGTTCCTGCTAGTGGACCATCAGATTCAGGTTCATCTGGTGCCAAGGACAAATCCAAGAAACCCGGGCGCTATAACATCATTGGCCTTGATCCGACTAAGCAATTTCTATTGCATATAGCAGCTGGTAAGATGTTCATACATGAATGTCTTTTTTATTGGTCTTGATGTGTGATTTTTCCCTCTGTGGATATCTTCATAATTTGTGATAGGAACTGAAGTTGAAAAGGATATTCGTGTTCAAAAGAGCATTCTTCGAGCAGTTGGCCAGGTATAGTATCTTGCAACTTTTTGTTCACTTGCATTAAGTTCCGAAAACATGTGGTCACCATCATGGCTTTACAGTACTTGCATGAAATATTACTATATTGTATGTGTGTAAGCATTTATAACAATTGTATCATTATATTGGGGAAGATACAGATCCAAAAGTATAAATATGTGATTAGTGGTTTGACATGAGGTGTGTTTTGGGGATGTTGAACTGAATCTGTCCTTCCTGCTTAGCTTTGAAATTTTAAGTACCCTTCTTTGTGGTAAGGGCATGATATTGATACTTAAAGATGAGAACAATGATTCCCGCATGAATGAGAGCAGCCAACTGCTGCTGAAAGAATATAAGCTACTAAATTTTCTGGTTGAATTTTTCCTATGCAGATGGAAATTCGTGCTGATTTGATGGATGCTCATATGTATGCATTCAATAGGTGTGTGAAATCTTGCTCTATTTTTATCATGGAAATAATTCTTGTACACATTGCAAAAATTATTAGCTTGACCTTTCAGATTTACTTAATATTCTTGCAGATCTGTACTGCAAGATGTCCTTACTCGGAAAGAAAAGTTCCGAAGTTTGAGGCTTGACGTATTGCCTTTTCTTGTTAAGAGCCAGCTGGTTGGTTTCTGTTCCTTGATAACTCTGTCATAGCAATTACATCAATTGGAAACGTAATGCAGTTACTGCCGGTTTCTGAACTTCAAATTCTTGATAACATATCAGAGATCTGAAATAATGTTAAATGGTGCACAATCAGACGAAAATGGCAATGGCAATGTCAATGATGCGCTCCAGAACAGTAAAGTCTTGCTTTCTCAACTTTTGGCTAATGCACCAAGTTTTCACGAAATCTATTCTCTGGGGCGGGCTGGCTCTGCTCCCGCTATTAGGAAGACTCACAAATGTTGTGTTTATATTGCTGATAAGAGCAAGTACTGTGCACAATTGAATTCGATTCAAGCATTCAGTGATATAAATAGAGACGTAAGTTTTCGTAACTGAACTTCTTGGAATAGATACAGTTTCAGGATATTTGCTTCAGATTTGCATTTCATGATGTCTCACAGGTAGTGGGAGATGCAAATCATCTGTCAGGTTACACTTTTTCTTCCCATAACAACGTAATTCATCCCTCCGCTGAACTTGGATCTAAGTCCACGGTGAGTCATGTAACTTGTGCAATTCGTCTTTGCAAATTACATTGGGCTATTGCTTGATCATGTCTGTAAATTGTTTCTTGTTAGGTCGGACCACAATGCATGCTGGGAGAAGGTTCCCAGATGGGCGACAAATGCAGCGTAAAGAAATCTGTTATTGGCCGTCATTGTCGAATAGGTTCTAATGTGAAGGTATTCCAAATTGACTGAAAATCTGCCAGCAACATCACATGCAAAATAAAAAAAAAAAAAAACTGACATGGAGAAACTGGTGGATATATATGCTGCAACAAATCATCTTGTAGCTATAATTTATTGAAGAGTAAAAACAATTTTCTTGTTAAATCTTCTTTGCAGATTGCCAACTCTGTTGTCATGAATCACGTCACTATTGGGGATGGCTGCTCGATTCAAGGCTCCATTATTTGCAGCAACGTGCAGCTTCAAGAGCGCGCCGTGTTGAAGGATTGTCAGGTAGAATTCCCAACAACCCCACCCCCCCCCCCCCCCCAAACCCCCAATAAGGCAAATCTCTTTAATTCATTTGAACTGTTATATAATCGTGATGATCCCCGATTCAGGTGGGACCGGGCTTTGTAGTCACTGGTGGCAGTGAATACCGGGGAGAATCCTTGGCCAAGAAGGAAAAATGAAAACAGGTTATTCTCAACAATAGTTTTGAACATCCTTCCTGTTTATACCTGGCATCAATGAAAAAGGCTTTTTTTAAAAATTTATCTAGTTTGGAACATGGGCAAGAAGGTGGTTGGCAGTAGCATCAATTTTGTTTGGCCATTCTGCTTAGATATGTGCTTACATTAACTGTACAATCGTTTCTTCGATTTCCATTTAATCTCTATTTGGAAAGAAAAAATTTTTGGGATATTTATTTGATGTTTAGTGGAATTTGAAATTGATTTCTAAAACATTCAGGTGTGTTTGTTTGTGGGTTTACACGTGAATTTTGTTTTGTAGGGTTGGTTTTAAGTGGATGATAAAATGAGAGTTATTCATGGTTGATTATGCCATTGGCAGGGTATTAATTAGGAAATGCACTTTATAATCTTAATGAAGGTGGATTCACCGCAGCACTGACAATAAACGGTATTATTACAGGCAGCATACCATGTGTATTCATATAAATACAAATACAACACAATGTTATAGTCTTACACCGCACAAGCAATAGTTGATTTTATCACATTGCATATTGTTATACAGTAAACTTGTAATTATGAACCAATAATACAAATACACCACATGAACTAACAAGACATGCTATAGTATTCTACAACACATACAATAATTGATTTCAACCCATTACGCTGTTATACAACACATGCTATAGTATTCTACAACACAAATAATAATTGATTTCAACTCATTATGCTGTTATACAACACATTTGTAATTATGAACCAGCACCATCTGATTTTTTCATTTCAGTACCTTGACCATTCCCCTTAGCGAAATATAAATAAGATTAGATTATAGCCTTGGATAGTAAAATTAAGATACAAGAACAGTACCCCAATTATAATATTATGGATCGGTGCAAGAAAGGTAGACATTTGCCTAAATTACAAATTAGCAAGCTTAGTTTGTGTTTTGTGTCATATGAATCCATATTACATTATGCACCAAGATCAAAAATATAATGGTGATGTGATGTGATGGGTGCAAGAAGAAATGAATGAAGAAACTTGTGTAGGTATGCAAACAAGTTTAAAGATGAAATGACATGACATTCACACAACGCAACCATAGCCATTTCCTATTTTATCAATCATGCCATTAACAACGCATTACTATATATTACTGCCTCCATCCCGAATTTAGGTATGTATCAAAATCCTGCTAACATGTTTTCAAGATAAAAAATAATTAATTATATTTAATCTATACCCACATTTTATTCCATCATATCACCCAAATAAGGAGCCGCCTGATGGTGCGGGGGTTAAACGGGTGACCGTGAACTCATGGGTTCAAACCAACGCCTCAGTCACCTGCCATACATGGTTCGCCTAATGTGACTTGCCTGTCGGACCTAATTTGCAGGATATTAAATTCGGTCGGAGTTTACCTTTGGTCACGGAGGGAGTACATTATTACACTGCAATGAACTTAGAAGCCCACCCTCCCTAGCTGAAATCAGATGGATGCTTTTCAAACTCCTTAATTTATTCATACAAATAACTTAAAACATAACTTGAAGAGGAGGAGGAGGAGGCTACATGCAAGACCTAAGTTGTGAGTGAAGAAAGAAATAAGCATAGATAGATGGATAGATAGATGGATACCCAACTTCAATCCAATCCATGAAACCACCCTCAAATTTGGAAGCAAGCACCAGCAGAAGAGCAACACAACATAACATAGAAAGAAAGTACAGTAGCTTAGCTTCCTTTATTAATTACACAAACAAACCAGCATCTTTGTCATGTCAGGTCATCTGATAGGAAGGAAGGAAGGACCAGTGAATAATTCAATTCAAGAAGATGCAGCATCGTCGGTGATGGGCTTGAAGTCCTGAAGCTCCTTGAAATTCATCCACGACTTCTCCCACACCTTGGCCTCATAAGCCTTCTTCTGACCACTACCACCCTCTTCCGCCTCCAGCGTTATGTAGTACATCTTCCCCGCCACCACTTGCTCCTTCACGTTCGTCACCCTCTTAAACTCCAGGAGCGCATTCTAACAACACAACACAACACAACACAAGCAAATTAAAATTCTCACAATAACTCAGCCACTCTGTCTGACAAGTTATGGCGCAACCGTAGACCAACCCTAGGTTTCCCCTAATGTCTCCATCCCATTCCGCAATAACAAAATTGTGAAAAATAGAAGCAAGTCGGTCGTGGAAACAGACTGACCGACTCAAACCAAAACCAACACCAAAATCAAAATCAAAATCAAAATCGGCGAAAGAAAGAATGAATGAATAGAAGTAACCTAGGTACCTGTTTCTTGTTGTGCTCAGCGACGGCGAAACGTGCGAGATTCTCGATTTCCAGGCTGTTATGCGATCCTCCTCCAGTCTGGCGAATGCCTCCGAGCGTTGCCATTTCTGAAAGAGAGAATGAATCCGACTGTTAGTGTGCGTGCGATTGGAGAAGGGGAGAGAAGAAAAAGCTATGTCTAAGTGTAAATGCAATAATGGATGGACTGGATAGCCTTGGAATTAAGCAATTACAGAACCTTATTCGGGATCCCATAAATCAATAATACTCCTTTACGTTAAAATTAGTTTATTTGGATAGACACAAAAATTGAAAAGGTAAAATTATTTATAATTTCAATGCGATTTCAAAATTTAGCTTAAAATCTCTCTATATTTTAAAAATTGTATGTACCCTTTTATACTTTTATAATTTTTATCTATATGTTTTGCATGGCGGAGGGTTTTATGAATATTTTTTAAAGTACAAATGAGCGTCATGCAATTTTTTTTTAAGTAAAATGGGGTTTTATGTTGAATGTGATTTCATGCAACATTTTTTAAAGTATAATGGAACATCATGCAATTTTTAAAGTAGAAGGGAATTTACACTGAATTTCGAAATTATAAGAGAGTTATGGACAATTTTGTCCATTGAAAAAATATAGATAGTTGATGATATTTTTAAAAATTTAGTTAAAAAATAAAGTAAATAAAGAGAAAATGTAATAAATTATTGGTATTTGTTATAAATAAATATTGAATGAAGGGTAATAATTAAATGTTTGATTTTGTCAAAATTAATAATTGAATAAATTTAATGGACCAACTAAAAAGAAAAATAAAAATAAATTTAATGGATAGAGAAGTAATAATTATAACAATAATAATAATCTTTAGGTCATCTTCAATTATTAACTCCATTTTTGCAATTGTTAAACTACAAAGTATAAACTTCAATTTTTATTCTAAAAAGTATATTGTTTTTATATTATTTTATACAGTATAATTTTTCATATTTATAAATTACACTACAATTTTAATTTATTTTTACATTATAATCCATACACGTATAATTTATAATTTATAATTTCTTTAAAAATTACATATATGAAAATTAACATTTATAATTTATATATCATTTTTAATATATAAAATTACACATTATTTTTTTAAAAAAAATAAAATTATATCACATTCTAAAAATAAAATTATACTCCCTCCGTCCACTCCCAATCTATTCATTTTGTCATTTTAGTCTATCTATAGCAAATGTATCTATTTTCTTTTTTAGTAAATGTATATTCCACTTAAATATAAAATTACTCCACCCTTTATATAATATTACACAAATGTCATCAAATAACACTATTTAATACCATAAATGTTAAGGGATATAATAATTTTTATGTATATCAATTATACCACATATCAATATAATACTAATATACTAAAATCTACGTGCATAAAATAAACGGATAGATAGGCGGTGGACGGAAGGAGTATCACTTTTTAAAACATAAAATTATACTATCACTTTTAAAAATAAAATTTTTCATTATTTTTCAAAAAAATAAAATTATATATAATTTCTAAAATATAAAATTATATATTATCTTCTAAAAACATAAAAGTACACTATACATCCAAAAAATAACAAAAATACAAAAAAAAAATACAATTAAAATATCATAAAAGTTCCGCTCCAAAAATAGAGTAGAGTTATAGTGTTAAATGGAGATGGGGTTGGGGATTTGGGGGTAGGTTGAAGCCCCTCGCTCCCCACTTTTTGTACAATTCAGTGGATCGGAGATGATCTCTCATAAAATTTGCTCCATTCATCACGCGGTAGTTAATTAAACATATTTTTTATTTTATTTTATTTTATTCGATAATAATTGATATATATTTATTTTAAATTTATAAATAGTAAGTATATTTTATAAATATAAATAAATTTTAATATATTGCATATAAGTGATAGTGGTGTAATTTTTTTTGCATTTTGGTTTGAAAGAATATTTTTTTATATTAGTTATAGGAAATTATGTATTAATATAAAATAATAAATGTATATAGTATAGTATTATTTTTTAAAATATATATATATTGAAATTTTTTTGGTAAAAGAATTACTCTCTTTACTAAATAAATATTTTTATCTATATTTACAATTCTCTATATTTACAATTCTTTATATTTAAAATAAAATATAGCTTATGCTAATCATATATAAATAAAAATATTTTTTATTTAATTATATTATATAAAATTTTATTCTATACGAAATAATATATATATTATATATTGAAATATAATATTTTTAAAACATTTAAAATTATTTTGATCATATATTTAATTTTTAAAAAATTTAAAATTACCTCTAACGCAAAAATAATTAAATAATTAATTTATTTGTTTTGTGAAAACAAAACCAACACATTTTTTTTCCAAAAATTAATACTACACATATTCATTAATTTTATATTATTTACACAATTTTACACGTCACATAAATTTAAAACTCTTTCCGTCTTGCCACATGATTTTTTTTTCTCATTTCATAGAAGATGACTCATTTCTATATTTTTAATAAAGTTATTTATTTTAAACATACTTAAAAAATATAAATTAATTTAATTAATTTTTTAATTTTTTACGAGTATCTTAGACCTACTTATTCATAACTTTAAATATTTTTATTTTAAAATCTGTCGGTCAAAATGATATTAAGTATAAAATTTTTATGATTAAAATAGAGTATGCTATCATAAGAAAAAGTTTAAAAACCAACTGATTAATTTTAAAAAATCATCATTTGAGCAAACTAGTAGCTCATTTAATAACGGGTTAGCTCATCTTGTATTGTAACAAACTATATTTGTAAGCTCATAACTTGATTTGGTTTTTACTTAAATTGTATAAAAGTGAATATATGGAAAAATTTATAGCTGATACTATTGATAATGAAACCATTAATCTAACTCGAAAAAGAATAAGACATGTATTTTACTTCCAAAGGTTATTAGTTGTCAATCGTAACAATGTATTGGTAGTATCATATTGATTGAGTTCGTTACCTTGATATAATTACCGAAATTGATACGTAATTATATGATAATAATATTCACTTAATCACAACTTAATTGTCGTGTTTGAAGTATAATTTCAATAGCTTAATAATTGTATCGTTGTAATTCAATATCAAATACGAAAAATGTTATGACTCTTTTTGACGCTCGATAGTGATGTGATTCACTTGGTTCGTCATTGCTCTTTTTTCGTGGATCTCATATCTTATACATATAGCATGATTGCTATGTGTGGACTTCTTGAATTTTACTGTTATTTGCAATGTACGGTGTTTGGCGATGACACCATCTTACGTACGTATATTGATGTAGGATTATATTTTGCAATAACGACAGTTAGTCGGACAACCGATTGATCTGTGTCGCAGGGTCTTTTGTGGATTAGACTTGGTTATTTATAGTTTTATATAATCATTATCGTACATGTTTTGGTCCACTCATTAGATTGATCACTAGTGGGGTCTACCTGATTCCTAAGGTGCAAGAATTCCTCTACTATACACAAGATAAATCTCTGGATAGGTCTATCTTTGCTATCACGAACGTGGTTGATGGCGATACATGTCTGCTATTCATGTGATTGATTGACGTACTTCTATTATTTTTACCTTGTTGGTTATATATTTGATGTTGGGTTGAATATCTATCCGATTGTATCAGACTTTTTATATTATTTATCGAGGCATTCTTGCTGATTTATTTTAAAATATATTATTTATAAAATAAATAATTTAAATTGTATTTAAAATTATAATTAAAATCTACTTACCTCTAAGAATGAATTAAAAAAAATTAAAATTAAAATTGAAATCGAATAGGAATAATTTTCATTGTTTTTTTTTTTTTCCTCGTTCTTTCTTGTCCTTCTTCTTCCTTCTCTAGACGTTTCTTCCACTATTGAATGGTAAATGTGGATTTGTTTATTTTTTTATATTAATTTACATATATGTATATATAATTATATTATTATTATTATTATTATTATCGTGATCGCCATAATTTATTATCTATCTTACCATATTATTTTATATATAATTATATTATATTATATTATATAATTATTATTTTTATCAATATTTATCATTTTTTAACTTTCTCTTCGGGTGTGTTTGTTTGGGGGATTTAATAAGATTTTTACTATTCATCCAATTTTTTTCCCCCAAAAACATTAAATCAAACACCTATTTTTTATTTTTTATATTATACTAAAAATCAATTTTACATTCAAAACATCACATCAACACCTATTTATATCACATCATACAACTATTCAAATTCAAAATTTTTACTATTCAAATTCCAACTCAAAATTCAAACCCCCAAACAAACACACCCTTCCTGTTCTCAATTCTCGGAAGAAAACAGTTCCAAGTTTTTTAATTTTTAATTTTTTTATTTTTATGATTCGGCAAGTGTCAGGGTTCTTATGGTATAAAAACCTCCCATTGTGGATCGTGTGTGTGTTTGAACGGGAATTGGATTTTGAGTTGGGATTTAAATAGTAAAAATATTGAATTTGAATAGTTGTATGATGTGATACAAATAGGTGTTGATTTGATATTTTGAATGTAAAATTGATTTTTAGTATAATATAAAAAATAAAAAATAGGTGTTTAATTTGATGTTTTTTTAGAAAAAAAAACATTAGATGAATAGTGTAAATTCAATCCAATCCCCCAAACAAACACACCCTTAATAGACCTTCTCAGGCCATCAGCATCAAATAAATCTTAAAAGTTTTTTTTCAATTTTCAACTCATACTATTTTTTTTTATTTCACAATTTTTTTTTCCACTTCACCATAAAAAATATATGTTTTTTAATTTATATTATAATAATTAATAATATTATTATTAAATTTAAATAAAATTATATCAATTTTGTAGAGAATAAAATTTTATATAATACGAAAATATTAAAAAAAATAAATAATTAAATAAATAATATTTTTTTAAAAAATAATAATAAAAAATTCTCCTGAGTTGCTCTACCCAGCCGCCTTCTCTGCTGCAGATACTGTCCACCACATTATTTTTATTTTTATTTTAATTTAAATTGCCGACATGGGTTTCTCTACAATAGAGAAATCCCAGTGCTGATGCTCTTAGGGTGTGTTTTGTTTGGGGGTTTGGATTTTGGATTGGGATTTGAATAGTAAAAATTTTGAATTTGAATAGTTGTATGATGTGATATAAATAGGGTTTGATGTGATGTTTTGAATGTAAAATTGATTTTTAGTATAATATAAAAAATGAAAAATAGGTGTTTGATTTGATGTTTTTGGGGGAAAAAAATTGGATGAATAGTAGAAATCCTTCAAAATCCTTCAAACAAACACACCCTTAGTATTCAAAAGAATGAAACCAATTTTTATTTTCAATTCTCTTTCTCTGTTTTGATTTATTTGCTACAAGATATGTAAACGAAGTGTTTTTATAATTTGATTTTAAAAATAATTAATTTTAATTTAATAGTAAAATAATATTTTAAATTTTTTTATGAAAGATAAAAATATGTACTTTTAGATTTATGTTAAAAAACATACGATTTACCCTTATATTATATATATATATATATATATTATTCATCTCTCCATTTATGGTATTAAAATAATATATAATAAGATATTTTGTAAGAAAAAAAAATATAATTTTTTTTTTAAAATACAATAATCCAAATAGCAAAAATCTGAAATTTTTGACAAAATAAACATATTAATATGCATTTTATAATACAATAGGATTATTAATAGAAATTGCAAAATTAATCACACATCTTTTTTAAAGAATGAGACTCCATTTATATATATATATAGTTTCTGGAAGTTAAATTGATATTTCTTGAGATAATTATATAATTTTTTTTCAATTTATTTATAATTAACAATTTAATACACCTGTAGCTTCATTATATTCATTTTAACAAATAATAACAAATTTACAACTATTTTTATTTTAATTTACCTTATTATTTTATTATTAATTATTTAATAAATTTTTACTTTACTTTAATTTTTTTTTACATTAAAATATTATTATTTTGATATTGTCTCCGAACACCGGGGCATCATTCGAGTGCTCATCATTACCCCTGACATATGAAGTACTATTATTATTGCTCCTGAGAAATTCATGCGATGTCTGAATTTTTTATATTTTATTTTTTATCCATCAATTTTGTTTATATCTTTTCTTTTTAATTTTTCATTAAATTTATTTTATTTAATTTTTATACTCTCTCGGTCTATTTTTTAATATTTTATTTGATATTTATACGTATTTTTAGATAATTAAAATTTTTGTTATAAAATGACAAATTTATTTTTAATCTTGTCTATAGAAAATAAAAGAGTAAATAAAGTAGGGATAAAAGAGTAAAATTTATGTATAAAAATAAAAAGAGGACAATAATTGTTGAATATTCCAAATAAAAAAGTAGGACGTTAGTTTGTGGACGGAGGAAGTATAATTTGTGTTTATTTAATTATTAATTTTTATTTACTATCATTATCACTATCAATATATATCATATTATTCTCTTTAAATATACATTCAAACAAATATATATCATAAAAAAATCAAAAAAATAATTAGGGTAACATAAAGAATTATTATATAATTAATATAAAATTCTAATTTAAAACTTATAAAAATTTATGAAATTTTATAAATACTTATTCTATCATCTTTAGAAAATATCTTCTTAAATTGTGTTGCTTATTGGTTTATGAAGTATGAAATTTAGAGTGGTTAACAGCTGAGTTTACTCGAATTTTAAGTGTTTATATTTGTTTGTTAACGTTCGCGAACAAGACTCGTGTTTGTTCGTTAAGCTTTCGGACTCATTCGTAGTGTTCGAGCTCAGCTCATTAAGGATTTTTATTGTTTGAGCTCGTGTTCGTGTTCGACTCATTTAGGCTCAATTAAATTCGTTCAAGTTCATTCAAGCTTGTTTATCTCACTTTTTTTTTTTAATTATATATAAATTAAAAAGAAAATTTAAAATTATTTTATTTATTTATTTTAAATTGATAGTTTATTTATTTATATATAATTTTATATGTATATATAATATTTATAATAAATATATTATTTTAACGAACATTCACGAATAAAGCTCAGACACGTTAATCAAACGAGTCTGTTTATATTGTTCGGCTCAGCTCGTTAACTTTCGTAAATGAACTTTAACCGTGCCTAACCGATCCGAGTTCACGAACGACCCAGTTCGTTTAACAGCTCTAAATATAATATATTTAATTATGAAAAATTACTATATGTTTTTTTTATTAAAAAATAAGAAAAATATTTTAATATAAATTCTATTGATTTGATATTAATAAATAAATAATACTCTCCCCGTTCCATAAAAAGAATATTACTATTTTTCTTTTATTCGTCCCAAAATAAGAGTACCACTTCATAATACATTTTTATTTTTTTACTATAAACCAAAATAATATTACAATATTTTTAAAAATCCTACCCACTTCATAATACATTTTTATTTTTTCTATTATAAATCAATATAATACAATATTTTAAAAAATCCACATGAAAAAAAAAAAAAATAATGATTTTGTTGCGGAACGAAGGTAGTATAAAAATTAGAAAATTAATTTTAATAATACATGCACCATTTATTATTTTTATAAATGTCTTATTATAATATTACTTAAATATAAATGTTAATATTATAGTTTTTTATACTATACTTTGTAGAATATATTAATGTATTGTACAATAATAAATTTTATTTATAACTAATTTAGCATTATGTAATTAATACAAATAATTAATTAAAATGTATAGATGATGATCAATTAGTATAAATAATATAACTATCATTAATTATGAATTTAAATGTAAATTAAAAAAAATTGAAAATAATTTTAAAATTATTAACAATCAAAAAATGAAAAAAAAAAACTTTGGAATTACGGGATCCACCGAGCTCAAATTATAGTAAATTATATAAGGAATATATTAAATTATCTATATAATATACTCTATGTTCCATAACAAAGTATCTATTTTTTCATTTTAGTCCGTCCTATAACAAAGTATCAATCTTTCTTTTTAGTAACTGTATTATCTACCTAACATTACAAATATCCTTATAACTTAAAATATATTACACAAACGTCATTACCTTTATATCACATACTAATAAAATTATTTTAGTCATTTTTACTTTATTCCTACTACATCTAAATATAATATTAATATTTTTAAAATTACGTGCAAAAAATTAATTATATGACGGATGAAATATATATAATAATAATAAATTTTGAACTTTAATAATTATATTTATTAGCTATAATTTTATTAATTATATCAATAATACCTATATAATATTAATGCTAACATATTAATTATATTAATTAATATTTTTATTAAAAAATCAAAAAAATAAGAAAAAAAAAACTTTGGTGGTTTAAAACCACACCGACCTCAAAATATATAATATATAAATTACATAATAAATATATTAAATTGTCTATAGAACATATAGATAATAATAATAAATTTTAAATTTTAATTATTATATTTATTAACTATAATTTCATTAATTATATTAATAATATCTATATAATATTAATAATAACCTATTAATTATATTAATTAATATAATTATTCTTATTAAAAAATCAGAAAAATAAGAAATTTTTTTGATAATTGAGACCCAAAGACCTCAAATATAGTATATAGATTACTATAAAAGAAACATGTAAATAGAGCCTAACGTTAATCAATTGTGGTGGTGAACCCCAAAGCCCTTATCAAACCTAATTTACATACTATTAGATTCGATCAAAAATTTACCCGAAACATCCACTCGAAAAATAACGATCGCAAATTCTGAATTCCCCTTTAAAATAAAAAGAAAATAAAAAAATAATAATAATAAAAAAGAAATGTTACAAATACGCGTTTTTGATGTACTCCCACACTTAGAAACACAACCACATTTGCCATTTAAACTTCCTCCATGACTGTACAAAATATATACATGTAGCATCAATAAGATGAAGTTTGACTGACTAATATTTTTCACTAAAAATATCCATCCAAGAATACTTACCAAAAACAAACATCACCTCCAACAACTTAATTATATGTAAATTTCTATTCAAAACTATTGTTCGTTCTATTCTAGTATAAATCTTCCATTAAAAACATTCAAATCTAAAACTCGAAAAAGCAAACCTCAATACAATCATGAACAAAGATATGAACGTAATAAATACCTTCCCCCAGTACTTGTACCCGGCTGGCTTCGTCCTTAACAAGTTCCGGGCCGGTTGGTTAATAAATCTTCGACCTCCTCGATGCCACATTCCCGACATAAATCAAGAATCCTGTCCGTCACTTGCAAATGCAAAGTGTCGTAAAAAACTAAATATGTAGTGTAATATTGGAATCAATGAGTAACCTGACTTTGAGAGAGCAAGTTCCACAAGGAAGAATGATAGATGCAGGCGAAGATCCCGGAATTCGCAGAAGAACTTGGCACCCATTTCTTGAAACCAGGCAACCTATTTCCTGCAACTCGGAAGAATCGAGAGAGAAAGTGTCACCGCATCTGCAATGGTGGGAGAGTTCAAAGCAATTCCCATCAACGCCATCATCTTTGACGGTCATGTCCTCAATGCTCACATCTTCTATGTTCACGTCTTGCCTCAAAGTTTGTAATTCATTGTCGTAAAGTGCTCGCGATCTTGGATTTGAGAGGATTTCCCATGCCTTTTGTACCTCTATAAACGCATTCCCTAAATCAGCTTCACATGTCGATTGCACTTTATCTGGATGATGATTGAGGATGGCAGTTCGATAAACTTTGCGGATTTCTTCTTGGCTTGCATCTTCCTTAACACCGATGATCTCGTAGTGGGTTTTATGGCTTAAATTGTTGCTCACTATCATGGCTTCAACTGCAGATGCATACAAACAATAGAATAAGAATCGAGTTTATAGATTCTAGAAAGTAGAGTAGACATTGCTACTCCAAATATAATGATAGTAATGAAAATGGATTTAAAGATTGAAATCTCCGATGAATTCTCATAACATAATACACACAACAACTTACTATGGCTCTGTTTACTTATGTTTTCAAACCACTTTTGACACTATTCATTAACTATTATATCTTTTTAAAAAAAGTATTACTCCCTCCGCATTCAAATCTATGATTATTTTTCTCTTTGGATTGTCATAAGAATATTCTCGTTTTATTTTCTAGTAAAATTATATTTCACCTTTTTAATACTTTTTTACTATAAAAAAAGTAACAATTACTATCTACTTTTATTAAAATTCGTGTCTCAACATTTGAGCACAAATTTGAATGACGGAAGGAGTACATCGTATACATTTTTTTTTTTCCTTCTTTTTTATTTAAAATACTGCATCCAAAACTTAGTTCTATACAAAACATCACATCCAACTCCTATCTATGTTACATCAATACTTATTTTCATTCTAACTTTCTACAATCTCTAAAATTGCCAAAAACTCCAAAATACTTCCAAAACATGATTTAGAGATTTAAAACAAACCACAACTATCATTCTAACATCATGTGCCAATACATATAGTACATTAGCAAAAACACAAAAGAAGGATAGTCAGCAGTCATACAATTTAGAGATTTAAAATAGCTACAACTCTCCCACAAACCATTCCGGCTTCGTCCAAGCAGAAAATTGATCTCGAAATAAGCCATAACCTACCTAATGAAACCATTTGTAATAGAAATGACGTAAAACTAATCATTTGCTTTGTGCATGTAGAGTCTTTTTTAAGAACTTTCCAGAGTCTGGACATCATTTAGCATTAAAAAAGTGGTTTATTTTTACTATCTTATTTGCCTTAGATCTTTATCCCATCTCTTCCATGTCTATACTAATACTTTGATCCAAATATCTAAATGCCATAATCAATTTTTCCCCAATCTGCAAACAATATAAAAACCTAAACAACAAAAGGGAAAACAAATTAAAATAAAATAGCAACTATAATGAAATTAAACAGTAAGTTTGAGCAAAGCTGCAACAGCTCACATACAGAAATCACATTAACATGAAATAGCAAAAGAGCAAAAAGATATCTTTCCATGGAATTAAAATAGCAAAAAATACATAAAAAGTCACGCACCATCAGTGTGAATCGGCAAGAAATCAACCATAATCATTGTGATTAAAATTGAAATTGAAAACCCTTATCAATTGAATTTAATTTGTAATAGCATAGCATACACATAAACAATCAGCCATATACCTAAAACAGCAAACACACACAGATGCTCTACCGGTGTATCTGCAAATTCTTCTTTACTGTGAACACTGTTCAATTTTCCGATAAAAAAAAAATACAAAAACAAAAACAGCAAGCACGCACTGATGACGACAAAGCTCAGAAGAAGAAGTCAGAGTTAAGGGATTTTGAGATCATAGCATAGGAGTGGTCGCCCCCGAACAAGTCCTCAATCTCAGAAGAAAAATAAGAAAAAAGAATTGAAAGAAATCAAAGAGTATTTTCTGAAGTAATAGAAATATTTGTATTTCTCACCCTTCTTTTCCAAATCAACAAACACGACCTTGAAGACGAAGAGCACGGCGGCCAAGGAGTATTTTCTGAAGTGATAGAAATTTCTGTCTAGAGACAGGAAGAGTGAAAGAAACCGTCGGGAAGGTTTTGCATCGGCGGCAGTTGGCGGTGGGGGCAGCAGACGAGCAGGTCGGCGGCGGCGGCGGCGAACAGTAGAGGAGTATTTCTGGAGCAACAGAAACTGTCTAGGAAGAGAGGAAGAGGAGAGAGGGAGAGAGAAAGAAATCAGCTGGGGTGGCTTCTCCTGCACCGTAATTTTGCCCGGAGGGAAGAGAAGCTGTCGAAGAAGTAGGGGAAGGCTTGCTATAAACGAGCCATTGTCAGAGCTCTTAGGGTTGTCATGTGATGTTTGTTTGGTTTTTAAATTTATAGTTTAATTTATTAGTAAATTGATTTTGACTAATTAAAATTTTTATTTAAAATTATAATTATATAACTTTTTATCGATTATCTATTTTAATCGATACATTTTTATATAATATTCATTACAAATTATTGCCATTAATTAAAAATTTCCAACCAATTTTTTTTTAAGGGATTTAGAGTAATTAAATTGTAGGTTCATATCAAACTTATTATACATTTGATACTAAAAAAATTAAAGGTGGAGAAATATGAAAAAATATAAATTACATGAATGAAAATGTAAAAGTATAAAATTTGATTGAAATATAGAATTTGAGCTTATAATAAATACAATGAGATTATTTAATGGTGTATTTTGAATTGACATTATATTTTTAACGGGAGAGGATCCTCAGCATCATCCCTCGGTGCTCCTTATGGCAATAATATTTGTTATGATTTTATTTCAGAACTATTGGTCCCCTTAATATTTGTTTAATGCGTTCAGACATTAATTTTAGGGGGTAATATAGCCCTCTCTCCCTTTCTTGTCAAATGGCTAAACTTCTTGAAGCCATTTTACAAAAAAGCTTCATAAACTTAATTTTAGATCCGCAAAGACTTGTTTCAAACTTCAATGCATGGTATGGTTTGACGATAGGATTATCGTCAAGCCATTGTTCGAACATGCTCTTGATTTGATACATAAAAATCCAGATCTCGATTAAGGAAACTGACTTGAGAGTGTTCTCCATCCGTTGATACTAGTTCATAATTGCTACCAATATTTTAGTTTTTAGTTATTAGAGTCGGCCTCATCTCAAGATGTGCATATCATACAGAATCTTTGGAATATAAACAGACACAAATCCCAAGGCCTAATTTCTATAGAGATTATGGTTATAGTCGGTTTTATATCTTTCAAGTATAGGGTCGATTCACAGGTTCGGTATTGTATCCGAAAGATGTTGGATCTACTCACACCATCTTAACCTTATCTTCGTCCCAAAATATTAATTGTTGATGGACAGTGGGTAGGATGTAGTGAGCAGAATGGATCCAATCTTTTCCATCTTAACATATTGAGTGTATACATGACAGAGAACACTTGGACATATTTGGCTTGAAACCAATTTTGGAAGAAACTTCTTTCTGAAATGTACTAGCTCGGTGCAAATATTTCTGACATTTCTCGATTCAGGTCGAGTATCTATGTCCTTGTGTTGCAAGATATAGTCAAACCAATGCATCTGATCGGGAATCTGTTTATTGTGACAAGTTATATATTTGGCCACAATGTTTTTGACCGACAAAAATCTCTGATTCTGAAAACCTTCGGTTGGTCTAGAGTTAGGCAATGTCATTTGACAAGGAGCTTGAAGTTTTTAAGGGCGAGGTCCGACTACTAATGTATTAGGGTTTCCTTTTTTTGTTGTCCAATACAATAACCATAACTCTCAATCATTTATTATCTTCCTCAACATTGGAATACATCTTGGAAACTGGTCTAGTGAAAATATAGCTTCAACCTTGAATTCTCTAGAAAAACATCGTATGATTATCATACCATGGGGAGTTTTCGGAATATAGACTTGTGATTTATGAACGAGAATCAAAACTGTGATGGTTGTGGGCAAAATAGCCTTGACGATTGCCAAGATAAATTACCCCAATAGATCTGTGATTAAAGTGAGAACCAAATTTTTGTACTACTTTCACAAGGCCATCTTGTGAGGCTTGCGGTAGATCTGAATAATTGGCATCCTTAATTTTTGTTGGGCCTTTGTCATAACTAGATGAAGACCGTCTTTGGGGCAGTCTGTTGCCTTGAGAGGGTGTTTCTTTTGGCGAGGCTGACTACGGCATTATAGTGGTAATATGAACCTTAGAAAAATGCTCATCATTCACCTTCATATCGGAAAGTTTGAGATGTTCGTTCTTCAAAGGTTTTTGTATGATCGCTCTAAATTGAAGGTAATTTTTGGTGGTATATCGGAATGAAATATGCTATTTTCAATACTTTCACCCTTTAATTTCTTGGAGGAAAACTAATTCTGGTAATTCTTGAAGGTAATTCTTTTATCATTAGACTCCAACTCCTGATTCCAACATGTCCTCCTCAGATTCATTCTTGAAATCCATCTCTCTCCTACTACCCACATAACCCATGCCTGCATCAATTCAACCCCTTCTCCTACCCCCTTAACCTCTATCACTTTGTCAACTTCTAAGACTACCACATCTATCAATTCCAACCCTATGCCCACCTCATCACATCTCCCCTCCCCTCCCCTCCCCTCCTTAACCTCATCAATATAATCCTCAAACAAAACATCACCGCTATCATCTATTTTAGAAGTCATTACATATTCACTTTCACTCTCACCGAAATCAATACCTTTAAACTTAACTTTTGCTTGGAAAAAAACACAAAATCATCACACTCCTCACCATGTTCTAGTACATATTGTCAAGAGTTTCCTCATTGCACACCATCCGTATAGATTAAAAAAATTCACATTCAAATCTTTTCCTACACCAATTAAAAGTGCATACCTTTGAAAAGACGCGAGGTCAAGGGATTGACCTTTACTGACCTCTCCTCAATGTATTTGGGAGTTGATGTTTGAAAAATATTACATCAATGCAACAGGGGTAACCTTAACCAAGATGGTACCCACAACATTGTAATTAACACAATTGTTAAAATAGTGAAAACAACACCCCTCAATAACAAGAGCAGATGTAGTCTTTCTTCTATACCATAATACATAAGAAAAACCTTGGATAGAAAAATAATAGTACTCATAAAAAATAAAATTAACAAATAGTAGGGAACCATACCAATGTCATTTAAACCAACAAGGACAAAAAGACAATGACAACAAAAATCATGTGTTGGCTACTCAAGATTAACATATTACTATAAAAGCATCGGCAATCAAACTAAACTTCTAATAGCTAAATCAAAATGTACGGGCTCGAGCAAATAATTGGTATACAAGCACAAGTTTAGCAGATGAGAGCTCCATTGCATCAAAGATGGGGCACCGGCTGAGAAAGCCAACCACCCGTCGGCATCGAGAACGTGGGGTCCATTGGTGGCTTGATTTCGATGGCAAGAACGTGGGCAACCATTGACAGGCTCCAATACGATTGAAGGGAGAAGAGTTCGTGAGGGGAAGCTTTGTTCGAACGATCCACTGGAATGGGCAGCTAGGGCTTGATTTTGTTTTAGTTAATCTAATTTTGCAATCTTGGTCTTATTGGACCAAATTACAATTTTAAAAAAATTGTAATTTGGCTCAATCGGGCCAAATTGAAAATATAATTTTTAATTTTTTTAAATATTAACTTATCCGATGAGCACCGGAGAATCTCTGCATGGCACACACGTCGGCCCCTATCATAGACATGTCATCAGCAGTAGTACACATCAGCTACATGTGCATGCATGTCACGTTCAGCTTTCCGGCATCGGATAATAGAAATAATGAACTTTTTTGAAATAGTCTTTTATTCGGAACCTGAAAAATTAGTATTTAAAAATACTAATGAACTCAATTTACAGGACAAAAATTACAATTTTTCTATAATTAAATGTAAACATTTTATTAAAATAAATAAAATAATTTATCTACCCTAGTCAAACATGCACGGCCTAAGACAGCAGTGGTGGTAGCTGAAGAAAATACAAATACATTAATGCAACATATCATAGATCTATATACAGCTCTTCAAAGATTCAAAATAAATCAATGCTGTTCCTCCAAAGATACAAACTAGTTAGCCTTCCTACACACACATATATATATATATATATATATAGTACAGATGGTTGGCTGCCGGTGTTGAGACATTCGAGCGTGTTGAGACATTCGAGCAGTTATATGGTGCCGGAGATGTCAAAAACTCCTCTTAAAGCAACCATCACTGCCACCAGAACCACCTTAACCATTGCATCAATGGGAGACAGCGGCATCGGGGCTGAGGAGAAGTTCACTCTTCGAGCCTGGTCCCTGCACCACAAATATATAATTATAGGGCGGTGTAGTAAAGTAATGCTCCCTCCATCCGCCTCTACAGATCACATTTACCTTTTGCGTCATTGTATCTAACATTAAAAATATTCTTATATTTGTATAATTTTTTTTGTACAAATATCATTCTATTAGTATTATAAAAGACCGATAGAAGTATTTTTGCAATTTTTTCTTAATTTGGATTACGTTTTGATATAATAATTAATATTCAAATATCAACACGGAAAAAGTAAATGAGACCCTTAGAGCCGGACGGAAGTAGTATATGTTAGACAACACATTATATATAAATCTAACAGCACAAAATATATATTTATATATAACCTATAGAACACTCAAACTAACAGCACATGACAGTAGTCCATACCGATCTCTAAGCACACAAAAAGGGTACTAACACAACACATACAAATAAAGACCTAAACTATGCAAGGATGGTGTTTTACGCAATAAATAAAATATAGGGTGTTTTATGCAATTTTATTAAAATACAAGGGAGTGTTATATAATTTACTCATTTTTATATGGTATCTATAGTATTTTCATATGATATCTTTAGTATGTTCATATGCTAATTGGAAGAATCAACATGGTATTGATATCCCTAATCAGTACCATTACCGAGGCGATAATTATAGGTAGGATTCAGCATGAGTAGTTGAAATAGTTTGTTATATCCATAACCGTAGTAACAGAAGAGATCGATTGCTTACTTCTGCAACGAAGAGAGTTCACCGCAATAAATGGTGTTCTCGGGCAACTCAACCTCTGTGTTGTCATTCTCCGGATTCACAGCGTTGATGTAAACTTCCTGACCGAGATACCATGAGTCGAGATTCTGGGAACGCAGGTTCCACATCCCGGCATTGTCCAGAAACACTAATATGGCTGACCATGCACCGGGAAACACCTGTTAATTTTCGGACAGATCAACCTACACCATTTTCAGAAGATTGACCTGTAAAACATTATGGATATCGAATGTACCTGGGTAGTAGAACGAGCCACACCATCCCATTTGTTATATGTGCTTCGGCTGTTCTCCGTCCACACTCCGTAGTCCATCCTTCATTAAATCAACACATATGCTCATTACTCGTTACCCAAAAGTCTGAAATCAAATTCTTTGTATAAAAAACAGAAATTATAAGTTTAGCTTGTTCCGTATAATGAAGTTTAGGGAAAATTGCAAAAAATATCTAAAATGTATACATTGTTATCACTTTTGTCATGTATTTATTCCGTTGGCAAAATATATTTCACATGTTTGCAAAAGTCGCTATTTATATCTTTTGGTCGCGCGTAGCCGCGCGTAGTGTGAACGTCACGCGCGGGTTAAATGATAGAAAGAACGACTTTTGCAAACATGTAGGATATATTTTACCAGCGAAATAAATTCAGAACAAAAGTGATAATGGGCTATACATGAGGAATATTTTTTGCAATTTTTTCATAAAGTCTACACTTCCCGCTTTAATCAAAATGTCGAAACAAAGTTCAACTTTTAGTTTAGTCCCACAATCTTACCCGACAACGAAGAAGGCGTAGCCATCAAGATGGTAACTCTGAACTACTGTGTCGTTGTTCTGGAAAATAATTTCGACAAATCCTTTGAAAGTTCCATTAATCACGGATGCATCGAGCTTTGCAGGCCTATTCATGAACCTGTTAGGAAAATCAAGCTTGAAGACCCCCGGGACCTTAAATTGCCTAGCAAGTGTGAGAGGTGTAGAAGGAGCTAAGTATGAAATCCCATTTAAAGTAGTACGCCGTTTTCCATCAATCAACTCAGCTGGCCGGTTAAGGATGACGAATACATCAGTCACAGTTATCTCGCCATATCTGAATGATCCCTGAGGGTTCGGACGAGCGGCTCCAGCAGAAACATTCCATCTGCATCCATGATATCGTCAAACAAAGATATAATATATTATATTATATGAGCATTAGAAGAACTCCAGTTAACTACAACCTTATGGATCTTGCCTGATTCATCGAGAAATAGGTGTCGAATTCATTAGGGAGGCCAGGAAGTGGACCCGAAGCAGGGCCTTGTGAATTTGAATAATGCAATATAGCGACTCCGGGAGGTTTGGTCCAGTTCGAGGAATCAAAAAGCCTTGGACTGGCGACGATGTAATAATCATTTGTAGCATTTTGGTCCATCGTAACCAAAAATGAGTACGACTGGCCAACATGTATGTCCATGTTCGAGTATTTCTGTTGCACCGTGTAAGACCCTTCAGTTTCCACTAGAACCAAGTCATGGTTTTGGATCCTGAAGTTTAAGCTAGTCGAGATCCCGACATTGTGGACTCGTAAGCGATAGGTTTTACCTGTCCGAAAGAATTTTTCATCATAAAGACAGATTAGACTCGCAAAAATCACATTCTGTGTTCCTCGTAATGTATGAATCGAGCATCTACTTGCTCAGCAACAAATGTAGAAATTTACCTGGTTCGACGTTTATTATTTGGTAAGGAATCCCGTCTCGTACCACGGCCCTATCAAATTGATAAGGGCCGAGACCATTGATCAAGACTCCATCTGGGGCTGCAAGGCTGTCCCCTGACTCGAGGTCATTTCTGAGTTCCTATGTCATTGGATGCTTTGCTCAGTAACGATATGACATATATTTGTGACAAAGAATAATAAACGAACCAAGAAATGATATGATTGAACATTAACCTTGTGATTCTTTATGTACCAATCACCGATAAAGAGGTTAACATCGCCATCGGGGGTTGCAAAAGGTACGGGAATAACATCTCGATTGTTGACAACAATACCGCCATATCCACCACTGGCTCGTTGGAATCCAAGGGATGGAAAATAAAAGAAACTCCCTATCTGGTCTTTCACCTGAAACTGATATGTCCAATTCCAACCGGCGGGAATCGGGCAATTTGTCCCCGAAACACCGTCCTGCCATGAATTCTTTCTTTGTTGAATTCCATTCCTGCATTCCTATAACAGTGGTTACTCTCTTATACATGCATACATGATACACCATTATATGCCGGCATCCCAATATCGAGTAGCATACCATGTTAATAGAAATGGCTCATCGAGATTATTTTTAACATTGATGACGACATTCCAATTCGTGGTGACGTTCAAAACAGGGCCCGGAAATTGCCCCTCTATACCAATCACCTGAAAAGGTGAGACATAGATGAAAAGTTAACAAGCCAACTCTGTCGATGATACAACAAACACCACAAAAATTGAGCAATATCTAAATACCACATTCAACACATGATGGAAAGAACAAGACCGTTCATGTTTGAGTTCGACCTGTTAAAGACTCAAGCCACTCATGTTCATTCATTGGGAGTCACGTGCTAACAAAGTTATTTAAGCTCGGTTAGTTAAACATTTTTTCTTGGTTTAGGTTTGGCTTCACTCATTAGCCAATTCTTTAATGTAAGCTTAAATTAAACAATTTTTTTCTTTTTTTTTTTTCCAAAAAAAATAAAAATAAATCATTATTTATTTTAATTATTAGACTTCATTTAACAATTAAAATCAGGTACAACATGATAAAATACATATAGTTTTGAAATATAAAAGTATTCATTTAGGCTATGTTTATTGTGATTGTTTTTTTTCTACTTCCTCGTTAATCTCTATAAAAATAAACTATTTTCTATCACAAGAAGTTGTATAAAATACAAAAACACAACTAAACACAAGGTAAAAAAAGCCCTCAATCTATAAATGCAAATAAAATTCGAGCTTATTCGTGGATATTACAAGCTCAATTTTGTTTGAATTCATCTTGAGCTTAGCAAGTGAGCTTTTATTCAACCGTAACGGCCAAATCGACCGAGTTCAATGCCATCAAGGTATCAAACATCCCAACATTTGACTATCCTAGCAACTAACAAGAGAATCTCTCACACAATAAACATTTGTTGCTTTGTCTACTATAGAAGTTGAGTATGTAGCGGTGACTAAAGCAAGCAAAGAGATTTGTATAGTTGCAAATAATCTTAGTTGGATTGGGGAAAGAGCAAAAGAATGGCATACTTATAATGATAGTCAAAGCACCATTTATTTCGCTAAAAATCCTGCATTTTATTTAAGGACATACATGTCAACTCATTGAAAAGAAGAACTTGCAGCCTATAAAAACTCAAGAGGTAGAAAATCCCGTGGATATGGTTACTAAAGTTGTGACCTTAGAGAAGTTGGAGTTGGAGCTACGTAGCGTTTCAACAGGCCGTAAAGGGTGAGAAGAAAAGAATTAGCATTGTCATTTGCGGTTATAATAAAATGTAAAAGTAGGAGATGCAATCCTGAAGCCTAGGGATGAGTGTATAATTGGCAGAGCGAAGGGTTCAAGTGTACAAAGGGGTGGGATGGTATACCGAACTTCATGCAACAGATATATCGTATACTATATCAAAATTTTTTATATGATATTTTACCTTAGCGAAAATTTGATATGATAGATATATATACCGTACCATCCCGACATATCGAATACTAAAACATCAAAATAAATTTATCAATTTATATGCTGACCGTAATGAGAAAGTTCGATTACTTAAATCTTTGGTATACCAAAACTTTACTTAATGTGCGGTATGTCAGTTTTTTTTTTTTTTTTTTTTTTTTAATAACGTGACTCGTCAAAGACGAGTAAGTGCACTCTGGTAAACCCTAGCTAAATCTAATACCCTACAAACTAGGTTCAGCCAGGCAAGTCCGGACACGTTCGGATTTTGACCCGGCACCATCACGGCCACTAATTCACCCCCACACCACCGGGCATCAATTCTTTTTCATTTACCCACTCCAGGTGTACATCACAATTACACATTGTAAAATTTTTGACTTGGCAATGCCCTAGGTTTAGGTCGTAGGTTCATGTCCATCATTGCTTTTTAGCTCCGTAACAGTAACACTTCTAAATTCAACCAACAATAGAACTTCACTCCAAAATCAACTGCTCCCATCAATGAATTAAGCAATTTTAGATGCAAAAGCTAGCCTTACTTACAAAGCACTGCCCAAGCAGCGAATTGAATCAAACAAACAAAACGAAGATCCACCATCAAATTACATTACATTACATTACATGAACTACAACGATAGAAGCCAAGCCAAACAAAAAAAGGAAGAAATTAGAAGAAGAGAAAGCACCTGTTGCTTGATCCCGAGAGGGGAGGCAGTGAGATAGTCCACAGTCCAATCGTAGAACACAAATGGGTCCGCCGGTAAACCGACGGAAATCGAGCAGAGAAACAAGGTGAAGCAGAGAAACCCGCGGCTGCTGAGGGACATTGATTTGATGATATGATGATATAGCGAAACCCAACCCTCCAAGAACAGCAGCGCAATCGGTTTCCTGCAGAGAATGATTTTGGAAAGAAGAAAGATTTAGGGATCTAGCTAATGAGCTGCTAACTGTAAAAGGAATTCTGAACACTTGCCAACTGCGAGGTGGCCTGTTTCGAAACTCGTGCCGTTACTGATCATGTCATAGACAAACTTCCCCATGCGGTTTCGAACTGGACCGGCGGTTCGTCGGTTTTGAACCGTTTAACCGGAATCGAAACCGGTTCAAGTTCTTTTGGAACCGTGAACGGTCGGTTCGTAACAGTGCCGAACAGCAGCGAGACGACCGGTGAAGAAGAAGAAGAATCAGAGAAGAATAAAGAAACGATAGGAATAAGGAGGGGGTGTAGATCAGTAGATGGTTTGGAACGGAGAGGAAGATGGGTCGTTGGCGGCTGTAAGTAGGTTAGCTTTGGCCGTCTTTGTTTAAGAGATTTTGTAAAAAAATTATTAATTATTTAATTTTTTTTAAAAAAAATATCAAATTAAATATTTATTTTTTATTTTTTATATTATTTTAAAGCTAAATTACGTATGATTTTATCAAACTTCCCCTAAATTCGACTGTTTTTATTTAATGATATTTACAAATAAATTTTAGAATTTTAATTATTTAATTTAAAAAATAATAAATATACTAAAAAAAATATTTACTTTATCAAGTTTAAAGTTTATTTTTATTATTTTTTAAACTAAATATAAAAAAAATAAAGTTGATATTTTAAAGTTTATTCGTAATTTTTGATCAAATATTATTAAATAAGAATCGTCTAGAGGTGAAAGCGAATTTGACGACAATTTTAAAAATATGAAAATTTAACACAAATTCATAAATTGTGAATTTTATACAATTTAATTTAATTTTAAAAATTAATTTTACATTAAATCCAAACATCCAAACAAACACACCCGTTAATTTTTTTAAATCGAAATAAATCCAATTGAGTACACGATACAATCCTAAATTTCCAATCATCAGCCGCTGTGAACCGCCGGCGTGACACGCGATTCCAATTCCAGGGATCGGGATATCATATCCCCAAATTGTTGGAACCCTAATTTGAAAATCTCCCATCTTTGGCTGCTGCGATTAGGAATCTTCTTCGTTTCTTCAATTTTTCTTCTCTAATGTCAGTCGGCACGAATCGGTGCATATAAACACTATATGGCGAGAATCCTTTCAACGTTTACAGAAGCCTTGCAGTCCCAGGTCGTTTTCCATTTCCCATGGCCACCGACGCTTCCCCAAAATTGCAGGATCCAGTCCCCCAGACACACGATTTCGACCAAAGAACCGCGACTGCGGAGCACGATGGGCTTCAATTTTGGCAGTTCATGGTCGCTGGCTCCATCGCCGGCATGGTGGAGCATATGGGAATGTTCCCCGTAGACACTGTCAAAACGCGGATGCAAGCCCTGGGAACTTGCCCGATCAAATCGGCCAGCGTGAAGCTAGCGCTTCAGTCAATTCTGAAATCGGACGGCCCCAAAGGCTTCTACCGCGGGATTGGCGCTATGGGATTGGGCGCTGGCCCCGCGCATGCCGTGTATTTCTCCGTTTATGAGATTTGCAAGAAGAGCTTCTCCCGAGGGAATCCAGATAATCACGCAGCTCATGCTGTTTCTGGTGTTTGCGCCACGGTTGCGAGTGACGCTGTGCTAACCCCCATGGACATGGTGAAGCAGAGATTGCAGTTGGGGAGTAGTCCGTACAAAGGATTGTGGCAGTGCGTGCAGACTGTTTTCAGAGAGGAAGGTATTCGGGCGTTTTACGCTTCCTACTTAACGACAATCCTCATGAACGCGCCGTACACAGCTGTGCATTTCTCAACCTATGAATCCACGAAGAGGGGACTGACGAAAGTTTCCCCGGACAGTGCGGATGAAGAGACGCTAATGGTTCATGCTACCGCTGGAGCAGTAGCTGGGGCCTCCGCTGCTGCCTTGACCACTCCTCTTGATGTGGTGAAGACTCAATTACAATGCCAGGTACATGAATTATGCTATGAGCTTAGAAAGTTTGGGGAAAAATAAAAAAATTGTCTTATTCATTTTAAAAATAAGCGGCCTATAAATAAGATCAAATCTCAATATAAATCTAATAAATGTAAAATTCAATATCTAAAATATTACTTAAAATTTATATTTAGTAGATATTATATCCGATCTTATCCATAGATTAGATTAGTGAGATTTGAGTCTTTCGAGTTTGTATTGCTTATATATAGGTTTTTTATTTTGATGATTAATAAAATTTATAACATGGTATTAGAGCTTATTTTTCTCTAAATATCTTCGTTTCTCCTGGTACATTCTGTACATTCATCCTGGATTGTACCCGCTATTTGTCTGTTGCCTGCGATTTGAATCTTGTGTGCAATCTGCCATATATCCGTTGCTTGTCTGTTGCCTGCGTGCTATTTGAAATTTGTCTGCGATCTGTTTTCAGTCCGTTGTTTGTATGTTGCCCGCCTATTTGGCATGTATGTGCATGTGTGTTTACTTCTACTTCTTGGGCATATACGGTAATGGTCCTATGTGTATTCCGGACGCCTATACATATGATTATTAGAGTGACGACGAGTGAGATTGGGATCATTTATGGGAATGGTCGGTCACTTGCAAGACAAAATTTGCATGTTTCCTTTTGTTTTCATTTTTATGAAAATATGTATTGGATGAGATATTTCAAATGTAATTAGGTGTTGGATGAGATTCTTTGAATATAGTACAAGTTTGGAATGAAATGTTTTAAACAAAAAGTAAGTCTTGTATTTGATGTTTTAAACGGGAAATAGATTTGTCTTCTCTAGGATCTTAGAAATAATTAAGGGTGTGTTTGTTTTGGGGTTTGGATTTTGATTTGGGATTTTAATGGTAAATTTTTTTAAATTGAGTAGTCCTATGATGTGATATAAATAGGTATTGATGTTATGTTTTAAATGTAAAGTTAGTTTTTAGTATTATGAAAGTGAAAAATAAGTGTTTGATTCGATATTTTTAGAGGAAATCTTTTTGATGAATAGTAGAAATTTGTGAAAGTCCAGTAAACGACTGCACCCTAAATGGATAGTAAATTTTATTTATTGTTGAAAATTAACACTATTATATATATGGTGAAAATAATTAGGGAGCCTAGTAACTTGTATGTGTTTTTTTAGGGAATAATATATATATATATATATATATCTCTTAATTAGAATGAATAGCTTGAAAACAATAGTAATACACTTTTTCATCCCTTCATTGTTGTAAACCAACTCATGAAGATAGGGTGTAATTTAGGTGGCTGGATTGAAATAATGTCATGTATTTGTTAAACAACTTGTTGCTATAGGAAATGGCTTTCAAATAAATATGGCAAAGCAACAACTTTGGGATAAGTTTGCTAAACAATATGCAATAAAATGATCTTTGTGATCTAGACTTCTAATGTAATTAATTGATTAGCTGGTTATTTTATTTCTAAACTTGGTCCATATCCCTAACTATGAGTCCCTGCTGCTATCTCATTTTATGGTGCTGCTCTTTCAGGGTGTCTGTGGATGCGATAGATTTGCCAATGGTTCAATTAAGGATGTTGTTCGAACAATCATAACGAAAGATGGTTACAGAGGCCTTATGAGGGGTTGGATGCCCAGAATGCTCTTCCATGCTCCTGCTGCTGCAATTTGCTGGTCCACTTATGAAGCTGCCAAAACCTTCTTCCAAGAATTAAACAACGGTCGAAGCTCAGGTGTGTTTACTTGAGAGGTTTTGATTTTGAATTGAAATAGTTGTTTGATGTGATATAAATATGTATTGATGTGTAAAATTAGATTTTAGTGCAATAAAATAAATAAAAATTGAGTGTGATTTGATGTTTGTGGAGAAAAAATAAAGTTGAAATAGTAAAGTCAGGGGTAAAATCTTAAAGTAAACACAGCATTTTTTGGTCTTCTGCTGTACTTACTAATGCTCCTTTTTCCATTAATCCCGGTACGTGCAATTACTGCAACAATAAGCTTATACAAATGCGATGAATCGACCTTTTAGCCTTACTAGTTGCAATCTTGTGATCCGATTAGGATCTGCATTTTTTAAACTCGGATATGTACAGTTTTTTGTAGCAATGCTAAGTAATGAGTTACATATTTAGCATTAATCAGAATTCAGTTAGGTTTTGGCAGTGTCTTGAATAGTTTGCTTATCCTTACATATTTCTTACATATTTGTAAGTAGTTTAAAAACTGTTATGATGTATACAGTTCTTGCGAGCATGATATGGGAGTATCATATTCTCTCTCCCTTAGCAATTTATTTATTTTTTCATTTAGGTATGTTTTTAACAAAATATTATTTTTTTTTTTAATAAGTGTATTATCTGCCTAATATTACAAATATTCATCCAAATTATAATATATTACACAAATATTATTACAATTATATCATACAATACTAATACTAATAAGATTAATTTAATATTTTTACCTTTATTTCTATTATATCTCAATATAATACTAATATTTGAAATCATCAGGTACAAGCAGGTAGTTAATGGAACTCAATTCTCGAGCCAGAGATGTCTCAGCCCTTGATCTACAAGGGTTTGACTTACATCCTCTCGTACACAGTCTAGTTCTTTTTATTAAATATGTAATATAGAAAAATATAAATAAAAATTATACTATACTATAAATAAATATAATTTTTAAGTGATCTATTAAATAAAAATTTATATTTTATTTATTTAAAATCAGATAAAAATGATCATAATTCATAACCTCTCATTGTTTAAAATTCAGTGTAAATTTTTTCTAAATTGCATGACGCTCTTTTATAGTTTGTATGTAATTTTAAAGTACAAGATAATTTACGTGCCAAATCTCTCCATTTCGTAAACTCTCCTCTAACTTTCTCGGCGTCCTTATTTAATGGTTTTTGATCTACATGCGTCCAAACTGCGAATAAATGTCCGAATACTAATTTCTAAATTTCTAAAATTATAAACATATTTATTTATCTTATATTTACCCTAAAAAAATAATTTTTTTTAGACCAGAGAAAAATAATTATTTATAAGTATATTTACTGTTTCCTGATGTTAAATAATAAGAATAATAAGTACTTTTGTAATTTCAAAGTTTTAGAAATAAAGACTTTGAAATTCATTCGCAGTTTGAGCGTGTGTAGGTCAAATACTGTTAAATAAGGATAGCCGAGGGAGTTAGACACACAATTTATGAAACCACGAGGAAGTTTGACACAGTTTTAAAAGTACGGGGGATTTCGTCCAATTTTGTGAAACTACAAGTGGATTTTATGCAATTTAGCCTTAAACAAATTATGTTATATTTTAAGTTTTTAAAAAATAGCCCCCCTTAAACCATATCTTGGTTCTTCCGTTATTTGTTGTTGCTAAAGTCTCATTCGCCGTCATATATCTTATGTTGCTGTCATTAGCCGTCGCTCTTGCTATCTTCGTGGACTAGGTAGGAATTGTGGAAAATTAATGCAATTTATTGTGTGTTAAATAATGTATTTAAATATTTGAATCGGTTATGCGTCCGTGTTTTATTCATGAAAATAAATTTGGGTAAAGTATTTTTAATTTCATTTTCTTTGGAGTTTATTGTGGTCTATATATGATCATTCCTTTCAATGTATATCTATCAATTATCCTTAGTTGAATAATAAACCAATCATTTTTTTGCCTATTCAAATTTCTTTAGGTTTTGTTTCATGGTATCAGAGCGGACTTTGACGGTGGTGGCGAACGAAGCGAATCGGGGGAGGAGCATGCAAGTGGCACGTCAATGATGAGTATGTCCTATGGGAACTAGATATTCCATAGTGGAATTCTGGAATGCTCCCAGCGTGGGGGAGTACACTCGCTCGATATTGCTGGACACATCAAAGAAGAGCATGTCCTAATGTAAATGGACATTCTAAGAGGAGAGTGCTTCCAAGGTGGGGGAGTACGCTCGATGTTGCCGAAGGACCAAGGTGACCGAGTTTTGTTCGTGAGGGAAAAACTACGTTAAGGACGATCTTCAGGTGAAGAATGCACAAGCCACAAAAAAAGATATCCCGGATAGTATGCAAAAACGAGCGGCGGAATATAGGTCGCATATGGGGTGTCTATAGCAAAAGACCTCGTTGGATGTAGAGTTGTTTTTATTAATGACAGACCCAAAACACGGTCTAATTTTTTATTTTTTATTTTTTTTAAAAAAAGAAAAACTTTTCTTAACAAATAGATTTACACACGAGTTGTTAGAAAAATAAAAATAAAACTTAAGACTAGACAATTTTGGGTGGCACTTTGATAGCAAAAAAAAGTTCCAATAAAAAAGTAAAAATTTCCTTCAAAATTTGACAAGACAGGTTTGGTTCTTATTAAACCAAACAAGAACAATTTGATTTTTAACAAGAAATAATGAAGATTTCAAGATTGATGAAAACACAAAAACATTTGGACTTTTGTTTTGGGGTTTGGATTTTGAGTTGGAATTTGAATAGAAAAAATATAGAATTTGAATAGTTGTATGATGTGATATAAATAGGTGTTGATGTGATGTTTTGAATGTAAAATTGATTTTTAGTATAATATAAAAAAAATGAAAAATTAGTGTTTGATTTGATGTTTTTTAGGGGAAAAAATTGGATGAATATAAATCCAATCCAATCCCCCAAACAAACACACCCTTCAAAAAAACACAACAGAAGACACACGTCGAGAGCAAAATGGAACAAGTTTTACAAACTAACCACAAGCTCTGATTAGATTAAATTTAAAACTTTTGTAACGAATATATTTTAGAAAAATAGATAAAAATATAAATTTTTAGAGTATGTTTCTTTAGCAAAGTTTTTCTAAATTTATTATTTGGACTATCTATTTTTAAAAAAATTATATTTTTTAAAAAATATCAAATCAAATATTATTTTCATATCAAATTCAAATTAAATTTTATCAAAAGAAATACACCCTAAGAATTTTAAAAAATAATATATTTTACTTAAAAAGAATAGATTTATATTAATAAAAAAAAATAAAATCTAAGTGCAAAGAGACAGTATATTTTTAAAAAATTTAACATTAAAGAAGCCCAACATTGTTAAGGACAAGTACAATTATTAATAAATAATTAATTAGGATAATTAGAGGTTAAAATGCTGGAAGGAATCAATTAATCAAACACAAACAATCAGGCGTCCCATTCCTTCCCACTCTTTTTTATTAATCCATTATTAGTTCAATTCGATTTCTAACTATCACGTCACGGCCTTTTGCATTTCTAGATCCAAACTTGGGGCTTCGCTCTCTCCAGATCTCTGCATCCCCTTTCTCCTATGTGTTTCGGGGATCGATCTTGCTTGCCCACTTGAGCTGTTAGTGTGACCGCTGCTCGACGACGACAATTATAGCTGGATCTATCTGGTAGAGCTCTTGCTCAGCTTCAAAACGGATCCAATCATGAATCCCTTCTCCTCTGGCACGCGCCTGAGGTTAGTTGCCATGCGACCTCGCCTTTCCATCGATTTTTTTTTTTTTTGGTTCCTCGCGCATTTCTCATTATTAATGGATCGAGTGCTGGAATTGAGCCTTGCTACTGCGATTGCGCTTCAATTTTTGTTAGTTTCAATTGGGTTTTATAGGATGTTTGTTAGTGTCGCATTCTAATGTGGATTTCATCGGTTGTTGGATCCTTGTATTGCTTTGTTGCTGTGCGATGCTCGTCAGATTGCTTAGGGCTAGATGGTTAATTTTGTGTGAATTTTTCTAGTTAAGGTTCTAATTGCTAATTGGTACACGGAGCTATTGATCAGTAAGTATGTATGAGTTAATTGATCGACATGGGGGCATTACGGTTGAACACAATAGTTAAACATTAGTGGAAGGATAGCCAAATGGTAATCATTAGTTTTATGATAGCTGAAGTTCTTCTGTTTATATAGCTCTGGAGAGCCCTCTAGAAGAACTGGATTTGAACATGTTAGATTAGATGATCTTTTTTGGTATTATTTTTAAAATAAATTGTTTCAATGGTGCTTGGTTTTGATATATCAAATCTTTGAGGGATTAGCAGCCTAGGTAAGCCAGTGCATCCACTTAGCTACTTATGGCTGATGGCTTTATTCTCAAAGCAGAAGATAGAGAATCAAACTCTATCGTGGCTCCTCTTAAAATTATTTGGTGGCTCCTCTTAAAATTATTTGATTCGTTAACGTTAGCAACTGAAGTTTGTTTCTAGGTGTTTGAGTGAATTTCTGGCCTCACGTATTACCATTTGGTATACAAGAGTGAGATGCAATATTTAATACTTCTTTGTGAAAATTCTTGATTGTTAACTAAATCAACTTTAGAATAACATCTGCTCCAAAAGTTCCCTTGGTTGGATTAGTGGTGATGGCTCCATGGAAGGTCAATTTAAAAATGAGTAAGTTGTGAATCCTCATCTCCAGATGCCTAGATATCACTACTCTTCACCATATTCCTAGAAGTGGAAACAATCCGGCTGACTTCCTTGCAAAGTGTGGGACTCGAAAGGGAGGAAATTAAGGCCTGGCTCTAAGGCTCCTTATCCCGGCTCCCGAGACACTCTCCTTCCTTAGTTTTAATTCCACCAAAATGATTAGGGCTTGTTCAGTTTTTAGTTAGTTTCTTTGCTTTCTTTCTCTTGTATAAACTGTTTACTTTCCTAAAACCAAAAATGGCCTCCTATTCAGCTATATTTGGTATTCCTGAAAGGGTGCAATTGTTTCAGAATGTATGCTGTTTCTCTTCTGAATTTTATTAAGTGTCTGTATACTCTTCATGTAAAGCTGTGCAAGGCATATCTTATTAAGCTCTTGTTTTCAATAAAGCATCTTTGGTGATATTTATCCAGTATTTTTTTTACTTCCTAGTTTTCCTTGAATCAGGATTTGATCCTAGTATTGTTGATACATTTTATTATGCTTCTGGCGTAACACATAGCTGAATAAGCATGAATGATCCATTTCCTTTGGCATGTAAATGATTTACCAGCTAATACTGTTGCAAGTTTCATATCATGATCTTTCTTAAAGCCTGATGCTTGGTTGTTATAGTAACTTACTAATATATTCTTTGAGAGGATAGTGTGGAGATATTTTTTATTCTTGAGCATCTTTTGATGTGGGTTTATTGAATTTTAAATCACTTCATTCTTGTAGTAGATGATTTTTTGGGTATACAGAAAATTACTATTTGGAGGCACTCAACTACTAGAAACTACCTATGTTTTGCATTATCTTTTTTACTTCCATTCTCTTTGTGTCACTAGCAATATTCTACATTACAGAAGAACACATGATAAATTCCACTGTCAGGGCCTTTATGCTATGTTAATCAGTAACCACCAAATGCAGTTTTTCTGGTTGATGACTTCAGATTAAAACTTAAAATTTTCTTGTACTGAACTTGCTTTTTCTGCCAGGGACATGATTAGGGCTATACGCGCTTGCAAAACTGCTGCAGAGGAGCGTGCAGTTGTAAGAAAAGAATGTGCTTCTATTCGAGCTGCTATTAGTGAAAATGACCAAGATTATAGGCATCGCAATATGGCAAAGCTCATGTTTATTCATATGCTTGGTTACCCGACACATTTTGGTCAAATGGAGTGCCTGAAGCTAATTGCAGCTCCCGGATTCCCAGAGAAGAGAATTGGATATCTTGGCCTCATGTTACTTCTTGATGAAAGACAGGAAGTTTTGATGCTTGTTACCAACTCAATAAAACAGTATCCTTTCAAAATATATCAAGTTCTTGTATTGTATTTGCGTAAAGTAAAACAACAAATGTGCATAACATTGGTGCGTCAGGGTTACATATTGTGGTTTAATGTTCAAGTCATTGCTCGTGGTTCTTTTCCTTGCCTTGAACATAGTGTCTAAATTAATCTGGTTGCCTTAACCTGCTTTCAGAGATTTAAATCATACAAATCAGTATATTGTTGGGCTTGCTCTTTGTGCCTTGGGTAACATTTGTTCTGCTGAAATGGCTCGTGATCTTGCTCCCGAAGTTGAAAGGCTACTCCAATTTAGGGATCCTAATATCAGAAAGAAAGTAAGCCTTGCTGCTATATATTTTTGATTCAGATGTCAGAACATTAATTTAATCAGTTAAACGCTGTCACATTATGATACTGGATGAAGTGATATATACTTCTGATATCATTATTAAATGTGATGAGCAAAATAAAAGTAAAGGTGAATACTTGGCAGAAAGAAATTATTTTTAAGGGAAAATTGCTTCCTTTCTTGTTGTATAGAAGAGTTTCTGTTCATGTTATTTTGAAATTTCATTATATTTTTGCACTTTTGTGTTTAACATAAATACAAAACTGATGGTTTCATAATCTGTTGTATATTTCAAGTTACTCTTTATCCTTTGTTAATTCAGATTCACATGTGATTCTGTAATTTTAGGAAGGAAATCATATAAATGATCCAAAAGAACTTCTATTCATTAGTCGAAATAAGAATGTGAAATGTAAATTTTCATTGGAATTCCGGTTGAGAAGTTTTGATTTTGGATTTGATTTGAATGTGTTTAAATTTTAGAGCATTTAAAAGCATTTCTTAATTTATTTTTCGTATAGTATAAATTTAATCCAGTAAACGAAATCTCAATACCGGTAATAGCAGTATGTGAGGTATTAGTAATACTAATTATAGAAGTTTCGGTATAGAATAAGTGGTGATGATGTCTATATGCTCGATAACAGTGTCAACAAGTGAAGCAAAAAGATTGTCCAGTTATTTCCTTGTATTATATTTTAGTGTGGTAAATTTCTAATCAAGCGGAGTACCATAATGGGCAATAATTTTAGCTGCTGGTGCTAGTAGAGTTATTGGAGTCATTGATTTATAAATATTATTATTGCTTGAGTAGTGGTTACTTGAAAATAGGAAGAATTTCCCTTTTTTGGGAGATATGTAAGCCAATATTCTTTTTAAGAAGTTAAGAATTAATATCTATCGACATACTTACTTATGTGTGATAATACAGGCAGCTTTGTGCACAATAAGGATAATAAAGAAAGTTCCAGACCTTGCAGATAACTTTATAAATCCCGCTGCATCATTACTGAAAGAAAAGCACCATGGAGTGTTATTATCTGGAGTTCAGCTTTGTAACGATATGTCTAAAGTCAGTATAGAGGCTCTTGAGTATTTTAGAAAGGTAGTTTTTCTATTTCCTATGGAGTTTCATCTTTTTGTAATTACTTTGATGAAGCTAAATATGAACAAACCTTCCAACTTGATGAAGTTTCATCTTTGTTTTTTCTTTTATGTTCTAGAAATGTATAGATGGCTTGGTCAAACTTCTGAAGGATCTTACCAACAGTCCTTATACACCTGAGTATGACATTTCTGGGATCTCAGATCCTTTCCTTCATATTAGATTGCTCAAGCTTCTTCATGTGTTGGGCCAAGGAGATGCTGATGCTAGTGATACTATGAATGATATTCTCGCGCAGGTAAGGGTTTATGCTATGCAACATCTTCCTTTATAAAAGAAAAGAATTATGATGAATTGAATGTAGTCTATTGACTCTCTTGGAACTTTCTACTGATACTTTTATTCCGACATGGATCGTAGCAATTGAAATTATCTATTCATTAATTTTGAAAGTGATATTGTGCTTTATTAACAGAGTGCCTATTATGTTCCCGAAACTTTTAGGTGGCAACCAAAACAGAATCAAACAAAAACGCAGGCAATGCTATTCTTTATGAATGTGTTGGCACAATCTTGAGCATTGAAGATAATGGTGGATTGCGTGTACTTGCTGTTAATATTTTGGGCAAATTTTTGTCTGGACGTGACAACAATTTTAGGTAAATTTCTTTCATTTGGCTCGAGCATTCATGTTAACCTGCCTATAGCATGATCTAGTTGTTTTTGGCCATACCATTTGCTTTTGAAATTCTCAACTTTTATTGTGATACCGCTGATACACATTGATGAAATTAAGCTTCCATTTGCTCTTTCTCTATTTTCCTTATGGATAAATTAATGGTGTATTTAACTATCAAATATCAGATTGCAATTGGAATTGTCCTATAGGTGTCCCTGTGAAAGCTTAATTTTAAAGCTTATATAATATTGTATTTCTAGTGGTTAATTCAAGTACTCTGATAATATTGTGTTTTTTTAGAATATATCCAATTTGTTTGGTTTGAAGTTCTTGTTGATCTGGAAATGTGAAACAAAAAAATAGTGTGCATTTTTTGTAAGATGAGTAACTGAATTAAAAATAATGTCCTCACCCCCAAGACAGTTCTTGAGACTCTAGAACCAATTTGAACTGTCTTGAGGGTGAGGACAGTGGCCAAGATTTGTGCTGTATTTGATTCCTCGATGCCAATATACTTGGAGAGGAGAAAAAGAAAAATGTGAATGATGATCTTGAATGACTGCCCTGATACCCGCTAGACCCGGTTTTGGTTTATCACCACTATTGCCTGGGAGATTTCAACAAACTTAGCAGTTTGAACTTAGGTGATTTAGGGTGGCTATGAGAGATGTCTTGAAGATTATTCATCATAATGGAAATGGGTAGAGCCAAATCTGGAACTGACCCTTGTATCATTCTCCAACTATGAGACATACTCCAAGAATCACCCTGTCTGAGGAGAGACAACATCGTTGCAACTTGCAAGACTTCCCTATTTCCCAGAGAATAGCTTTGAGCACTCTGTCCTAGATTTGGAATTAGTCCAAATGGAAGTGAGACGATTATTGAAAGATAAGATCATGCGTTGGAGGACGGCCAAGCCTATAAAATCTCCCAGAGTCTGAGGAAATAAGTCCATATGCTTAACACCAAAGGACAGAGAATAAGATCCAGAGATTCTTGAGGAAGGTGTCAGAGAGGACAAAAACTCTCTGAGATCATGCAACCTCGTATGATTCCTCTCATTGGGAGGTCAAGCTGGAGAAGTTTCCATATAAATGTGTTAACTCAATGAGGGGTATTTTGAGACCTAGCAATCTGCCAAGGATGCCAGACTAAGAACTTGAGTCCAAAACCTTACGAAAGGATTGACAGGAGAAAGCGCCATTTGGATAAGGTTTCCTAATCAGACTATTTGAATCCTGTTGAGGGATACAGGCTGAATTAATGGTTTCAAGCAGATTTGAGTGATGATTAGATTTGAGGGTGTGTGATATCGGTAAACTTGCTTGTTAACAAATTTATATACAGAATAATGCTTGGATAGTTATAGAATTCAGATTTATCTTTATACCTTTAAGAGGTCAAAAATTATTTGGGAGAAGTGATGCATGAGAGTCAAATTGTTTTTGTGTGATTGTTGAGGTTTATGCTACAAATCAGATGAAGAGTTTCTGAAACTGAAAGTAGTTCTGATTTGTGCTTTGCTACATTTCTGATTTATGATGTCTATGTGCAATTTTGCAATATTATGCTTATGGTTTAATAAATAACAGAAACCTTGTTTCTGTACTACCAGTAAAAAGGCTAAGGAAATATCATATTTCAGTTATTATGGTTGGAGCTTAGAATGTAGATGATCTCCCTAAGCCTACTTCTTCTATCTCAAGGATTACTGGTTTAGTATGTTGCTTCCTACCTGATTTTAGCTTGATCAATGGTTTTACTACAATTTCAGCTCCATGGTAATTGTTACACACATTCAATTCATTCCGTATGCAAAGTTTAAATAACAGACATTAGTTTTTTTAATAATTTCCTAATGCTATCCAATTCTGTGATGATAATGCATGGTAAAAGCTTATAGTTTTACTGAAACCTAATAAATATCTCTGAAAAAACTCTGTGGATTGAATTATTCGTGAATTTAAACAGCAGTATATTGTTGTATAGCAATGTTAATGATGCTCACTTCACTGTGCAGTTTTCATTATGTTTTCCCTGAAGGAACAGTTATCTGTAATGTCAGTTTCTGGAGCATAATTTTCAGTCTAATAAGTTAGATCTTTTATGTTTTTTTCCCAGATATGTAGCATTGAACATGCTTATGAAAGCTCTAGCATTGGATAGCCAAGCAGTGCAGCGGCATAGAGCCACAATTTTGGAATGTGTAAAGGTATCATGTTGGTTGGGTTGTATATGTTTCCTTAGAATAGGTATGCTATGGTTGTTAATTTCAACAAAGAAGTTCTCTCCAAAACAAGTTCTTACCCCCTAATATAATCTTTAATATTTTCTCATGCAGAAATTAACAAAAAAGAGTGATAAATTCAAATTCGAACAAATTTTTATTTGTACATACTTCTACCAATATGGATGTAATATAAAAACTAATAATACCTTCTACACTTGTTTTTGGGTTATAATATAAATAAAATATTCGCTATAAAGTGATAAGTAAATCATATATGAAAATTGGCTGTTCATATCTTCACTAAAGTAGTTTTTTTAATTTTTTTTTTTTTTTTCAAATACCAAACTAGCATTCAAACAAGGTGATATGGTAATATTTGTTTATGAAGTCTATGTTCTCTTTGTTTGATATGTTGAAAATATGACATCATATGTGAGAAAGTGAAGTGCACCTGCTTATCTTGGTCTAGGCTTTGGTAAACATGTTTTTCTTCTTTTTTCTTATTATTTTCTTTTTATAAAGCTTCTCCTTTTTTGTGTGTTGGGGGTTAAAGATTCTTGTAGTTATCTTTTCATCTGAGATTTCCTGAAATACCTTCAGATGACATTGTTGGTTTTTTTTTTTTTATTCTAATAGTAATTACGTTTCACTAGTTATTCATGCTCACTAGATGCTAATTTGATGCCAGGATTCAGATCCTTCGATTCGTAAAAAGGCCCTGGAGCTTGTCTATCTTCTAGTAAATGAAAGCAACGTGAAGCCTTTGACAAAGGAACTCATTGACTATCTGGAAGTCAGTGACCCAGACTTTAAGGGGGATCTCACTGCCAAGATTTGCTCAATTGTGGAGAGGTAAGTGATATGATTGAAATTTTGTGTATAAATGAGTCATAGTATTCAAAAGACTTGAAGTCCCTTTGCCTGATTTGATCCAGTGATGATATTTCCGCTATACTTTCAAGTTATGAGAAGTTTTTATTATTAATAATTTCACCTACTTGGGGGAGGGGGGGGGGGGGTCACAGATTGATTTGTGAGGAAATAATATTTCAAGTTTAGGCATTACAAGTTTTTCTCCTTAGTATTGTGAAACTCCAACTACTTTCCATCAATTTAAATATTGTTTTGTTTCTCAGAAACTTTCTTTTTGCTGTCCAGTTGCTTTTCCTCACCTCTTCATTTTTTTTTATCTTATTTTTCATGTGCATTCTCATTTTCCATAATTGTTATACACCTTTTCATGGTCCCTGCATCAGGCATACATGAATAATAATGTTGGCTCTTTCACATTACAAGCAACTTGATCATTGATGTGCTATTAGTTTATTGCTGCCCATTTCCTTGTGAGCATTCAATGTGTTGTTATTTTTAGGTTTTCCCCGGAAAAAATATGGTATATTGATCAGATGGTGAAGGTTCTTTTGGAGGTATGTGTATTTTGTGAAATTCCTGTTGTACTGAAGTTTTGGTGTTAGACTGAAGTTTATTTTTGACAATTGACGATAGGCATTGTTTATTTGAGGAATCTATCACATGCTTTTGTTTTTGCACTATATTGCTTGCATACATATGAACCCAAAATGTCTCTAGGTATGCAGTCAGTTCTGAAAGATAGAATTACAATTCTTTGTCTTTTTATCTTGTCGCTGTAAGGCCATAGATTGGCATATCCTGGATATTATAATTGATATACAGATAGGACTGCACTCTCTTATTTCATGTAGCAAATGAATATCATCTAGATGCCAATGCAGCAGGTTTATTCATTGAGCAATAGCTGACTGATTGCTATCAACATTACCATTTCAGTTGGGACTACTGAATATTGGTCATTTTCACTTTAGGCCCAAGTTATGGCTTTTGGTTTGGTGCTTCCATTGAAGTTTTGGTGGTAGCTCTTAGTCACTATATGCAACTATGCGAAATGGCATCAAAAGTGAGATTGAGGAAAAATGCTAAGATATCATATACTCAGTTTAGTTTTCAGGGTGTTGGTTGACTCCTGTTTGTAGATAAATAAATAAATGATGCGTATCCCTAAAAACTTAAGCTTTTTGGTGAAACGGTCATTTACGTCATATAACATAGTATCAGAACCATAGGTTTTGTGTTTGAGTCCCACAGCCCCCATTAGTGCTGTGTTACATTTTGAGAGAAATAACTATCATATATACCTAAATAATATAACATGTTAAAAGACACCTTTTGGTATATGTTGTTGTTTACCAAATACATGTCTAGTATTGGCTCAGTGTCCATACCTCTTGCATTAGTAATTAGCAAAAATATTAAATACTTGTACAGTGGTAGATTGTATGCCATTTATAGCTGATATTGTTTGACAGATGAGACAGAGGGATGGCTAAATGATAAATTAGAAGGTTGGAGGGTGAAACTTGATTGTAAAATATGTATGATATGCAAGTGGATGGAATGGTGCTTTTGTAGTTTTCGAGGTCGTGATAGAATTTAAGTGGATACTATGTAACATACTTTATAGGCTAACTGCAGGAATGAACATAGCTTGATAGAGCTAAATTTAGGGTGATTTAGTGTGAGGATGGACAAAAAATTGAGGTTAGCGTGTTGATATGAATGTGCAAGTGCACAAAATCAAGTAAAGTTAGGTAAGAAATGTATCAGATGAAAGTGGGGGAGCACAAATAAATTAATAGAATGAGAAGAGAAACAAGTTACGTAATGTGTATGGAGACTTCTGAATGCTCTGGGATGGGTAGAAGGACACTCGCCTGTTTATTTTGAAGGGAATGCTACATTAAAATCATTTGAGTCTTAGTCTTCATCAAGTTGCTTCAACATGCAACATAATGGGTGAACTGCTATTGACAGTGTGGTAAAGACTGACAGTGATGGAAATTGTTGGTATGAGATTGCTAAATATTTCAGTTAGAAATGTTCATCTTCACTTCAACTTTTATCTTCTATCACCATACTTTTTCTGTTGTATATATCCTGTCAGTCATGAATTTTATGGAGGTCTGTTTTTCTGTAAGTGTTCTTCATTTCCTTTGTAGAGACTAGAGAATTGACTTATATAATTGTATTACAGGCTGGAAGTTACGTGAAGGATGAAGTGTGGCATGCCCTCATTGTTGTAATCACTAATGCATCAGACCTTCATGGATACACTGTTAGAGCACTATACAAGGCTATACAAACAGCTGGCGAACAGGTATGTCGTATATTGTGTCTGTAGTAGTATTTTTGAGAAATGTGGTAACATATGCATCCACTCTCTTAAATTTTTCTCTATCTTCACCAGGAAACACTTGTTCGAGTTGCTGTTTGGTGTATCGGAGAATACGGAGATATGTTGGTTGGCAATGCGGGAGTACTTGATGTAGAGAATTCACTAACTGTGAGTTATTTCTTTTGGAAATTTTCTTGATTTCTATCAGAATTTTATTGGTTTCCACATCAATTAGGAACACATTTAATGTTGCTCTGGATTGCATATCTTTATGATTGTTGGGAGTCTTGGGACATGGTATTTGTTGGATACAATGGGTTTGTCGCATGTGTTTCCAAGAATTTTTCTGCATTATAGGTTAAACAATCAATGTTTTTTATGTCTGCATAATTTAAAGGAGTCTACTCTAATCCATATCATGCCATGTAATTCTTCTTCATAACAAATTAATGGAACTATCAGTTTAAAATACTTTGCTCAGTTGGAAAATGTTTTAGCCAGGTAGTTCTCTTCCTCTTATTTTCTTTGGCATGATGCCTTTTTATAATATCTTCATAAAATGCTTGCTTGGACATTTTAAGTGATGATTGCATACTAATATATTTGCGGCATTTGTTCTATTCTTCTAGCCAACATCAATATTGTATTTAGGCATCAGAGCCTTCATTTTCATGGAAAGTTTCTATTTATCTGGGGCAGGTAACTGAGGCTGATGCTATCAGTGTAGTAGAAACTGCAATTAAACACCATTCTTTTGATCTCACAACTAGAGCTATGTGTTTGGTTGCTCTATTAAAGCTATCTGGCCGTTATCCTTCTTGTGCAAGGTATGTTTTTCTTGCATCACTGCAAAATTATAATGTTGTGCCAAATGATAAAAATATGTCCTATTTTTATTTTTTTAATGGAATTGTGCCTCTCATGTGGAGCAAACTGAATAACCTGATTAAGTAGGCTCTGCATGTACTTATGCTTGATGTTCTCTTAGCTTGGTTGGTATTATTTGCTGTTCTATTTGACTCACTTAGTGAGGAGTCATGTTGAACTCATTACAGGAGGATAAATGATATCATCGTCCACCAAAAGGGAAGCATTGTGCTTGAACTGCAACAAAGAGCCATTGAATTTAACTCAATCATTGAGAAGCATGGGAAAATGAGGTGCAGATACTTTGCCCTTCACCTTGATTTTTTAATTTATCCCTTTTCATTTCCCAATTACATGGTTCTAGGATGATGTTTAATTTTGTTCAGGTCCACATTGGTTGAACGGATGCCAGTACTTGATGAGGCAACTTACAGCGGGAGGAGGGCTGGTTCTGTACCTGGTGTGGTTTCAACCTCACAAGGAGCTCCACCAAAAATGCCAAATGGTATTGCCAAGTCCACTGCTCCAATTGTTGATTTGCTTGATCTTAGTTCAGACGACAATCCAGCACCCTCCTCTTCGGGTGGAGATTTTCTTCAGGATCTTCTTGGGGTTGATCTGTCCCAAACTGGACAAGGTTGGTTTTTGTAATACACGGAATATTTAGAAAAGCTTAAAATTTTCCAGCGTCTTTGTTTAAAGTAGATTGCTGTGACAAACCAGAAACGTATATCCAAATAAAGTGCCGATTGTTTTCTCTCTGTTTATGTTTCATCCCTTTAACTGGAGGCTATATGTTATGTGGGCCAGAGTTTAAATTTGAATACATTGTTATTTCAGGAAACAGTCAGACCCAGAAGAGCGGAACAGATGCCCTGCTGGATCTTTTGTCAGTTGGAAGTGCTCCATCTCAAAGTAGCTCGTCCATGCTCGATATGTTATCACCAGGACAAGAAAACAAGAGTTCAATAGATATCTTAGGCAATTTGACCTCCACTTCTCAACCTTCAGCACAATCCTCTACTCCTGTTGGAAGTTCTTCCATGATGGATTTGTTAGATAGTTTTGGTTCCAGTCCATCTGTGCCTGGTATGGTCCCCAAACTTTCTCCATCTGTTGATGTTCCTTCTTCGCATTCTTATATATTTCCTGGTTGCATTAATTATATTCAACTCCTTTGTTCTGATGCAGAAACAAATGGCTCATCTTATCCATCAATTGTTGCCTTTGAGAGCAGCGCCTTAAAAATTACATTTGACTTCCATAAGGAGCCGGGAAATTCACAGACTACGCTGATTGAGGCTCAATTTGTGAACAAGTCACCTAATACCTACTCAACTTTTGTTTTCCAGGCTGCAGTTCCAAAGGTAATCGAGGCTTGGGTTTATGTTGAAAGTATTATTAATGATGCTCAGGTCAAGTGTATTTGCTTAAAGTGACATTAAGGGTTGTCTTCGATAAACTGGAACTAGATAATGATGCACAATGTTCTTACCACTATTTCAAAAAGTTGAATTCTTATCTGATTAAGATGGGACGGACTGATCTGTGCCTTACCTTATATTTTTTGTCCTTCCTGATTATATCTGTATGCTCTAAATTATTTTGTGCATTCAATCTGCAGTTTCTTCAATTGCACATGGATCCTGCTAGTGGCAACATGCTTCCGCCAAATGGTAATGGGTCAATCACACAGAAGCTTCGGGTTTCAAACAGTCAGCATGGCAAGGTAAAAAAATAAATGCTCAATCTTTCTGCACACGTCTCATTATATGTAACTCATTATGTTGCATCATTGTGGCATCGATTCATATTTAATTATTCAAATAGAAACCACAACTTTGCCTGATGTTATTTTTCCTCACCCTCGCCTTCAACCATAGTTTTGGCAGATTTCTTTATATGCAAACTATGAAATGTATTTATACCTTTGCTTTTCAGAAATCACTTGTCATGCGCGTTAGGATAAGCTATAAGGTGAACGAGAAAGACGTGTTGGAGGAAGGACAGATCAACAACTTCCCCCGTGGTTTGTGAACTCTATCTATCGCATCATCGCTTGGTTGGTTGGGTGGAATTTTACGAAATTGTTTGGGTATGTGTTGTTGCATTAAGAGGTTTGAGTATTTGGATGTTCCACTCTGCGTTTTTTCCTTCATTAAAACCCGCTCTGCTCCACCCCGCCCATATTATGTGTATATCATCATCATCATCATCATCATTATCTTCATCCCACCACACCATCGCCATCGATATAAGAAAGAAAAAAAAGAAAGAAAGATTGATTCCTGGTTGTAACCATTTGGTATCTATCTATCTATCTATCAAATTTTGCCTTTACTGGCACGTACATGGATGCATGCATTATTCATACATCCATATATAAAATACACATTGCATTTGTGTTGATGATGTGTCTGTGTGTGAGTCTAGAGAGCTGTAGAGACAAATTTGTTACAATACACAAGTTTTGTATTCTTAATTTGAGAGAGGCTGGCTGCCTGGCATTACCTCTGTTCTGCTCTTTGTTTTTGCTCTATGATGGTTTTTTAAGTGGTATAGTTTTAAGATATATATATATATATTGATTATTTTTTCTCTATTATTATTATTATTATTATTATTGTGAGGATCTTATAAATTGTACTGGTAAGTATAAATGGAAAAAAAAAAAAAGTATAAAGTAAATAAAACTGCAAATATTTTAGGGACTGAATGCGGTGTTGATGACATGTGTTGTGTATTGTTATTTATTAGCGAACAATTATACGTGTTGTGTGGTTTATTATTATGAGCTGTTTACACGTTATAATTGTATTATATTAATATAAAATATGAGTTGATTGTTTATTTGTTATGTGTTGTTCGGCTAGGGTACTGTTGGCACCATCTACAATACTCCATTCGTTCCCTCTTAAGGGTCATATTTACTTTTTGTGTTACTGTACTTTGATTTTTTTTTTGCAAATGTTTTTATGTTAATATTATAAGAAGTTTTTCTTTTTTTAAATTTGTATTATGTTTTGATATAATAATTAATATTAAAAAATCAACAAGGTAAATGAGACCTTTAGAGCCGGACGGAGTTAGTATATTAATTGAGCATACTAAAAACATGTATTTGGGGGCGCAAGGAGCATAATATTGATAAAATTCACGGATCCAAATTTTAATGCTACCTCCGTCGATCATTAATCTATCCGTTTATTTTTTGCACGTTAATATTTGAATATTAATTATTATATCAAAACGTAGTACAATTAAAGAAAAGCGACAAAAATATTTCTATTAGTGTCTTATAATACTAATGTAATGATATTTGTACAAAAAATTATACAAATATAAGGATATTATTAATGTTAAAAACAATAACGTCAAATGCAAATGAATAGATTGACGGTGATGGAGCAGTAGATCTTCCTCATGTACGTCAATATTTTAATTTACCCAAGTTGTGGGGTGGATCCACAATATATGTATATATATATATATATATAATGGATACAAGTGTTATCAATGCAGTGTGATACATATATAATTAAAAGAAGGCATGTTGCTGAACGTGAGTTTTGTTGCTAATTAATTTATATTAATTGTTATGTTTAATTCAATATATGCGTGTAATTTTAGAAATATGCTATTGAACGCCACATAAAATTAATCAAAAAATTTATTAAATTGTGGTATATATATATATATCATTATCATATAATCATTTGTTAAAATGATAGAATATATATATATATATATATTGAGTGACATATACAACCTATTTAAACTTATTCTGTACGGTATCTCATCTCGTATAATTAATATATATGTGTTATTATTATTATTAATAAGTACAGGTGCATGCATGTGCATGTAGACTAACCCTTTTGTTTATTAAGAAAACAGTGAGAGGAAAGCCATGCAAGATTGGGCAAGGCAGGCAAAGGCATCAGACAAAACAAAAATAATATTTAATTAATGTAATAAAAAAATTGGTGTTTAGCTTTCAGTTTGTTGGGAGACGAGAAGGATGAATCCAGTCCATAATCATTTGTTTAAGGATTTTTAATTTATTACAACTACAGAATAATTCATTATAAAATTGGCCTTTGGGATCAAATTAATTAATTAATTAATTAAATTATGAGTACTACAGCTGTAAGAATCGTACCACGGCTATTCATCGCTCATCACTTGGCTTATTTTAATTAGGACTGGTTCGACCGCGTACACAAAGCTGGCTGGTCGGGTTCTTACAATAATATGTAGGCGGTGATTTACCTATTCATCCGTCCATTAACTAATGTTCTATTTTTTAATTGGGACGTCAAACTAAATTTTACTTTTTTTTTACTATTTTTTAATTTCTACCGTACTATTAAGGACAAACTTTTTAATTCGTAAACAAAAAAAATCACCTAAAAAACCGTGCAGATATACTTTAGAACTATAAAAATCGGACTGAGGAAGTAATAATTTTCTCTTGTAATTTTTAAGCTATTACATTTTACTATTATTTAAATTATAATCCATATAATAAAATGATAACTACGAAGTAATGTTTCTTAACGAATTTCTTAAAAAAAAAAAAAACAAGAACAACGACAATTTAAAATAAATTTGATAATAATTGCAATATTTGCTGCCAAAATTGCAAAGTTTATTTATGTTCACTTTGTATTTTTGAATATATATTTTTTTGTGTTAGATATGAATACTTATGCTGATAATATATAAAATAATATTTTATATTAAATTATTGGTTTTTTTAATAAAAAAATATATATTATATATTGCATTAATATATGTATATTTTAAAAATAATATTTATGAGAAATAGTTCAACTAAAAAACATTGTGTATTTATTTTGTAAAAAAGTTTGAAGAGAAGTATAAAAAATTGTGTAGATAATTGAAAAATAACGAATATGTGTAATATATTGATTTTTTTTTTGGAGAAATGTGTGTTTTGTTTTTGGCAAAACAAACAAACCTTGTAGTGAACAAACCCTTTGTTTACTTGGATTTTTAAAAAAATAATACTATGAATATAGTAAATAAAAAAGAAAATTATAATAAAAACAGTCATATTTGTTGTAAATAAGTATTGAATAAGATGTAATAATTTACTGTTGATTTGTTGAGTTTTGTAAAATTAATAATGAAATAAATTTAATTGACGGAGAAACTAATATTTTGTAATAGGAAATAATATACTCTCTCCGTCCAACTACAAAGTATACATATTTTTATTTTGGGACGTCCAATTACAAAGTAACCATTTTATTAAATACCCAATTTTTTTTTCATCATTACTTTTATACAAAAAAAGTAAGGGCAAAAATGTCATTACACTACTTTTATATACCCACTATAATTAAAAAATTATTATTTCTGAAACTCCACGCCAAAAATAAATATATACTTATTGCTCGGAAGGATAGAGTATTTTAATAAAAAAATATAAAAATCCATAAGAAATGGACATAAATCACTAATTGAATAGAGCGTATAGTTACTCTCACAAAAATGTACATATTGAAAAAAATGTTAAAGAATAATTATTAGATGTAATTTAGTGGACTTTTTCTTAGTGGAATTTTCTTTTTCTTGTGTTGAGTGAAATAAATAAATTAATAAATAAATAAATTTGTTTTGCGTGTTTTCAATTTGAATTTTATTATTAACTGATTTTTAATTCCAAAATATTAAATTATTATTACAATAAACAAATATTTCAATTTAACAAATTTACTATTAAAATCCTCCAACCTAACTCCAAAACTCACATACAAATAAAATACACGATGTGTTTTATAGTTTATTTTTTTCTTATAAGATTCAAACTATTTTAAATAAAAATAAAAAATAAAATTTGATATTTATTTTTAATAAAGAATATATACACATATATGTTTTTTGAAAAAAAAAAAAAAAAAAAAGGTAAACGGTGCTACTAAGTCTTGTATTTTAATAAATATAAAGTCTACAATAGAGTATCATTTTTATCCAAAAATAATGATGATTAAGAACTCCGCGCCTATTATATATGGATTGAAAAAAAATGCTACTCCCTACGTCTCATATCTATATATTCATTTGTTTTTTGCACGGAATTTTAGAAACATTAGTATTATATTTGGATAAAGAAGAAATAAAGGTAAAAAGACTAAATTAATCATTTTAGTATTGTATGATATAAAGGTGTTACAGAAATTCCCAAGAAATCAAGATGAGATAATAAAGACAAAAGAACATAAGAATTTGGTAACCCAGTTCGATCACGATGATCTACGTCTGGGGGCGCTGCCAAGTCAGGAATTTTACTGTAAAGTACGTAGGCACATGTTAAAGTGAGAATACATGGATATTTATAGCTTAAGCTTTTGACAATAATATCCAAATCATATCTCTAAAATCTAAAATATAATATCCAAATCATATCCCTAGATTTTAGGATATAATCAGGCTTCATATCCCAACAATATCTCCTCCGCTGCATTTTCCGAAACCCTTATCCTTCCCTGCCAACCTTGCACCGCCTATCACAAAGGGACTCGCAGCCTGACCTACCAGTCGGGACCGACCCAACACCGCCAGGAGACTTTCGTTTTGATTTCCTGGAATTTCCGTAACAAAAGGTAATAACATTTGTTTAATATATTGTAAATTGGAAGGGTATTTGTAATGTTAGATAGATAGTACAATTACTAAAAAAAATAAATAGATACTTTGTTATGAGACGGATCAAAATGAAAAAATTGATAGATTGTTAAGGGACATGAGAGTATTATATTTAATTTAATAGACAATATATTAAATTTTTTTATAATATTTATTTCCATGCGCTATAAGGTTATTTGTATGATAGAAATGCAATATTTAGAAACTTATAAGAATTCACTTAATCCTCTAAAACAATTGACAAAGGTTTGTTTGGTTTGAATTTGAATTTTAGGTAGTTTTTATTTATTTATTTTAATTTCGATTTAAATAGTATATTAAAATGATATTTTATAAGAGAAATTAATATTTTTATAAGATATTTACGGACCAAATAGCGAAATTTGCATTTAAAATAAAAACATACACAAAAGGTATTTTGTAGTACAATTTTTATTTTTTTTTCTAATATAATTTTTTTATATATATATATATATAATACTCTCTCCGTCCCACCTTTTGTGTCCGGTTTAATATAGATATAAAAATTTAAATAAAATATAAGTAGTAAGTAAGAAGTGCATTCATAAAAATTATCATTCTATAATAAAAATAATTATATATTAAGATTAACATAACTAATATAATTAAGGTTTAAAAATTATAGATTAAATAAATACAAAATCTTCATGCATTTTTAATAAAAGACAATATTTTATGCAATTATTTTTTCCAAAAATAAATACTCATCCTATTCAATTCAATGTATATATATATATATATTATCATTTTCATTTGTCCACTAAAAATATCTATTTTTAATTATAATAATAAAATTAAAATTATATAAATACTAAAATAACCCTAATTTTTATGAAAATATTTATTTTTTATATTTTAAAAGATAAAAATATCAAAATAACTTTGCACCTTTACTAACTAGGTAAAACATTATTACTTTTTAATTCACAAAAAAAACAAATATATACTTTCATTGACGAAAAAAATATAATATCGTTAGGTAAATGATATAAGGGCAAAAAACAAATACTAACAAACAAAAGAGTTATAGTTTAATTAACCAAATGTAGCTGTCACTTTTATTTATTTATTTATTTTAGTTTCTTAATAAAAACAGAACAGAACTCCCTACACACCCAACGCATGCATGAGTGAGAAACAAAAGATAGAGAGAGAGAGTAGACTAATCCGATAAAACGACGTCGTCGTCGTCGTCGTCATCAGCTGCCATCAATCAATTCGATATATATACATACATATATATATATATATATATAAATGGGCAATTACAGTAGTCTTCTGCGGTGCTGTTTGGCTTGCGTCCTTCCCTGCGGAGCCCTAGACCTGATCCGGATCGTCCATCTCAACGGATCCGTCGACGAGCTCACGGGTCGGGTCACCGCCGGGGAGGTTCTGGCCAACCACCCCAATCATCTTCTCACAAAGCCTTGCTCCGGCGGCTCCCACGCCGCCCGTCGTATCCTCATCCTCTCGCCGGAAACCGACCTGAAGAAGGGCTCTATTTATTTCCTCATACCTGCTTCCTCCTTGCCCGCCGAGAAGACGGCCAAAATCCTCAGGAAGTTTTCTGCCGCCAGAAAGTCGCCGTCGCCGGAAAATATTGAAACGAAGGCTTCCAGTTCGAGACGCCGGCGTCGGAGCAGTACTGCTACCGCCGGACGACGTCGTCTGTGGAGACCCAATCTGGACAGCATTTTTGAGGATTAATTAATTATTTTTTAAAAATTTGATTATCTTTATTTAATTTTCTCTCTTTTTCTTTCAACTGTATATTTTATTTTCTTTTTGAGGATTTTTTGCCATTTGTTTTTACTTTGGCATCTATTTTTAATTTATTAAAACTCCACTATTCCTTTCCAATATTTCTTGTTTCACTTTTCTTATTTTTCCTTCTTTAAATAATAGATGAAATTCAGATATTTAGCGTGCTTTATTTATTTATTTATTTATATATATTATTCAATGTTAATTTTAATAAAACAAATTATACATATTCTCTTATTTAAAATCATGACATAATACAGTACAAAAATTAATATAAAAATAAAAATAAAAATAAAAATAAATCATGTATTACAGATATATATCAATTGATCAGATAAGTTCTATTAGATTTCAAAGAACTAACTAAATTGAAGTCTCAGAAGATTAAAAAAATTTAATGCCATAATTCACAAAAGTTATATTAATTCTACAGCTGGAATAAACACATAATTCGATCTAATATTGGATTCCATTAATCAGTATATTTTATGTAGAAAAATCCAATCGATGAGTTGAATTTGTTAATTTTTACAGCGTTTAAAAGTGGGTGGATGGTATTTTTTTTTTTTTTAGCCGCTATCCCGAAAGTGCGCACTGGGTGAACCTCCGATCGAACCTAATACCGTGCAAATTAGGCCCGACTGGGTGGATGGTACTTTGTGAGCATGTAATGTAATGAGTCCACCACCATCGATATAAAAAAAATGTTTACTAACTACTATTATATTTTTAACTATAAAATATTTTTTTTTTAGTTAAAATGTGTCATTCAATGATAAAAATTAATTTCGCCACTAAAAAAAATTATATATTACAAAATTGATTTCGTCACTAAAATTCTTCTTTCAGAAAATTCTCTTTTTGTAACAAAAAAATTTTAGTTACAAAATTATTTTTCATAGTGTTAACTATAGATATCTCTTTTGTATTATTTTATTTTTAATTTAACCCCGAGCCCACTCGTATATATATTTTTGTACTCTTATTTTTGTAATAATATAGTTTTATAATTTTTTCACAAATTCTAACATGGTATCAGAGCCCAATTTAAAAAATATGAAACCTTAGCCACTGCCGCTCTGCGGTCGACACCGCCGCCACCGTTGGGACCGCCTCGTCGTCTCGGGCCGTCCTTCAAAATCTCGCTGTCAATGGCTGCGCGTACCGCCCTCACGCGCACTGACGTGAATCATGGCAAAAGAAGCTTTTCTGCCGCCATCCTTCGGGCCGTGCGTGCGGGTGCGTCTGACCACCTCCGGCCGTCGTTTTTCAGCCGCAACCTCATGTCTTCATTTTCTACGTTGTTGTGTGGTTGGTTATGTCCTCGGAGTTAATTTTATTTTGCGTCCGTTACTAATATGGCTTCGTCAGTCCAGAATATCGTAATTCTCTCACATTGAGCTTTTGCTTCTAGTTCCTCTTCGGTCATGGACAATTCGTGGTATTTTGACTCCGGATGCTGCCATCATATGACACCTACACTTGGTCTCTTGACCAATGCGTATTCTGTGTCCTTTTCATTGCCTATAGAGACTGTTGATAGGAGTCGCATGAATATTACTCATTCAGGATCTGTCTCTACCATTTATATCTCTTCTGATACTTACTACATTCCTCAATTGACTTTAAATCTTGTATAAGTTGGCCAACTAGTTGTGTAGAGACTTACTGTTACATTTTCTCTTCTAGTGTGCAGGTTCAGGATCCACATACAGGTCAAATTCTTGGGACAGGTCAAAAAATGGGTCAACTATTTAAGATACAATCTTTAAAAATTCCTTCCCGTACTTTTTCTGCCGCTACTACTGATACCCCTCTTCCTACCATTAATTCTCCTAGTCTTCAATGACACATTCGTCTTGGTCATGCGTCTTCCTCTAAAATTCAGTCTTTCGTTAGAAAAGGTCATTTGGATTCTACTCGTCTTGAGTCATTTGATTGCTTATACTGTCATTTGGAAAAATAATCAACCTTATCATTTTCAGAAAATATTTCGGTTGCAAGTAAACCTTTTTCCTTGATTCATTATGATTTGGATTCCTTCAACTGTTTCCTCTATGAGTGAGTGTCGTTATTATATCATTTTTATATACGATTACTCTCTTGTTACATGGATATATTTTTTGAACAACGCTTAGAATTACCTCAAGTATACATTCAATTTGCTCAAATGATTAGAACTCAATTTTTTTGTTCCATACATACCCTACGTACTGATAATGTCCTTGAGTATAGAGATTCTACCTTATTAAGGTTTCTCTCTGCTCAAGGTACATTGATTCAATGTTCCTGTCCATATACTTCCCAACAAAATGGTCGCGCTGAGCACAAAACATTCTTGATATTGTCCGTGCGTCTCTTTTGTTTACCTTTTGTCTTGATAAGTTCTGAGAGAAATCTGTCCTTACTGTTGTCTATACCATAAATCGTATTCCATCATCTGTCCTCCATAATAGTACTCATTTTGAACGTCTATATGGTCAACCACCCGATTATAGTATTCTTCATCCCTTCGGTTGTGTCGGTTTCGTCCTTATCCCTTCGCATGAACGTTCCAAATTAGAACCTCGTGCATGTTTATTGTTTTCTTGGTTATGGGGTAGAGCATAAATGTTATATGCTTTGGGATCCGATTTCTAAACGGTTGTGTATATCTCGTCATGTTACCTTTTGGGAGAGTATCATATTTTCCATCCTGTCTAAATTTAATGTCTCATCTATTTCTGGCTCATCTTCATTCCTGTCATCATGTCCTCCCTTATTTCTTGACCTTGATCCTACGACTTTATCTTCGTCTCCGAATCTTGTTCCAATTGAGACTTCTGATCAACCTATGACATCATCTCCAGATGTTGATCCGTCTACGGTGCTTGGACTTGTCATTCCTCGTCGATCGCATCTAGTAAGTCATCCACCTTCTCTTTTGCGTGATTATCATTTTTACTTTGTCATATTATCTCATCATGAGTCTTGGTCATTTCGTGAGGCAATTGCTGATCCATTATGGCAGCAAGCTATGACTGAGGAATTGCAGGCTCTAGACAAGACTCACACTTGGGATTTAGTAGATTCGTCTTCTGGAAAGACACTTATTGGGTGCAAGTGGATTTTCAAAATCAAGACTAATTTTGATGGTTCGGTTGAGCGCTACAAGGTGCGTTTGATGGCTAAGGGTTATTCTCAGGAATATGGAGTTGACTACGATGAGACTTTTGCCCTTGTTGCTCGTCTCACTACTGTTAGTTGTCTTCATGTTATTGTTGTTGTTCATCAGTGGTTCCTTCTTCAGTTAGATGTCAAGAATGCATTCTTATATGACACTATTTTTAAAGAAGTTTATATGACTTCTCTTCCAGGTTTCTCGTCTTCTAGAAATGTTTTTCGCTTACACCGCGCTTTATATGGGTTGAAGCAGACCCCTTCGGCTTGGTATGCCACATTTAGCTCTGCGCTATTGGAGTTTGGTTTTACCACATGCGCTTATGATTCCGATTTATTTATTTGTTGTTCTTCCTCAGGGATAGTTATCCTATTACTTTATGTTAATGATATGATCATCATGTGGGATGATGCGTCTGATATTTCTGATCTACAAGTATATCTTAGTCAACAGTTTGAAATGAAGAGCTTGGGTCCCCTTCATTATTTTTTGGGACTTGAAGTCTCTGATTCTCCTAATGGTTTCTTTTTGTCTCAGGCTAATTATGCCTCAGATCTTATTGCTCGAGCTGGTCTCACAAACTGTCAGATAGCCTTCATACCTCTTTCCTACGATGTTCGACTTACCCCTCATGATGGCTCTCTTCTTGATGATCCTACCCTATATCGTCATCTTGTTGGGAGACTTTAGTTTCTTGATCGAGCGCCAAGTCCGAGTATCGTGCTCTTGCTGACTCTATGTTATAAATTTTATGGCTTCGTCGATTATTCCCTGATCTTGGTGGACCTCAGTCATCTTCTACGGTTCTTCACTGAGACAGTCAAAGTGCTATGAAGATGACCCACAATGATACATTTCACGAGCGCACCAAATATATTGAGCTTGATTGTCACTTTATTTGACAACATGTTATCGGTGGGGTTGTCCATCTCATTTCGGTCTCCTCCGCAGATCAGACAATAGATATCTTTATAAAGTCTCTTCTTTCCAACCACTTCCGATTGTTCTTGGAAAAACTCAAGTTAATCTCTACAATGTCTACTTGAGTTTGAGTTTGGTGTGTTGAGATATTTTAGAGTTTTAGATTTAGTAAATTTATATTTAGATTTTATCTTATCCATTTATTAGATTATTTAGATTTGAATATATATTATATATAGACCTTTTATTTTGGTGATCAATAATATAATCTTATAAATTTTTTCCAAATTCTAACAATCACATCAAATATGTCAAAATTTTGTTTTACAACCTTGCAAGAGTATCTTATATAGGTACGAAAAATATGTATGAAGGTAATTTATTGCACACACATATACATATTGAGAAAATTAAATAAATGTATAATATAAATTATTGGTCAATCGGTATATAAAATACCTCTTTTACAAATATTGCATGTGTATATATGACCGAATACCTATAAGTCGACACTTATAGGCTTCAATTAATGATTATATATGCTCACCTAGGAGTTAAAAATATATGACAATTTTTATCAATCTTTTGATTAGAGTGCAAAACTTTCGCAGAATGGAAGGGCGGTAACTGTGTGTCTGCGCTTGTTTGGAGATTTGAATTTTGAGTTGGAATTTGAATAGTAAACATTTTGAATTTGAATAGTTATCTGATGTGATATAAATAGGCGATGATGCGATATTTTGAATGTAAAATTGATTTTTAGTATAATATAAAAAATAAAAAATAGATGTTTTATTTGATATTTTTTTTTAATGATTGAGAGCTGTAAATAAATATATATATATATATATATATTGAAGTCTTGTTGACTTCACAATTGCTCCCCCCTTACATAATGAACTTATTATTTCGAACTAAAGCTTAGCGATGTATAACTCTAGTCTTTTTTGGTATTGATGTCCTAATCACATATAACATACAAATTTATGTAACTAAAGCATTCCCTATATATCACTGTGATATTAGTACAAAATAAACAATAAATTAAAGCCAAACCAAACAAATTACTAGAAGAGGATCATTCATTTTATTATTTATTACTCCATCCGTCGTTCAAATCTATGTCTACTTTTTTTTTTGGATTGTCATCGAAAAATATTCTCATTTTCTTTTTAAGTAAAAAATCATTCAATTGTTGTACTGTTTTTTACTATAAAAGGAAAAAGTAACAATTATTACTCACTTTTATTAAAATTTGTGCTCGGTCAAATGAGCACACATTTGCACGACGGAGGGAGTATATGCTAGCGTTGTGGTGTATCGCGAATTTGGATTACAAATTTGCAATAGACAAAAGCAAAGAAGAGAGATTATAATCATGGTTCGGATTAGGTACTAAATTTGAGATCTTCCATTGAATTACAATTCAGACATATTATGATTTCGACTGTATAGAATAGATTGGCTGATGCATAAATTAATGGATATTTATAAATTAATACATAAATAATTTTTAATATTTGATATCTATTATATATACAATACTAGCATTTAAACCCGTGCTATGCACGGGTGTATATATAATTAAAATATGTTTAAAATAATATTGTAATGTAATTATATTATTTGATAAATTTTGCATATATGATTTATTTATAATTTATAAAATAAATATATATAATAAAATTATTTTTATACTATATAAATAAAAGTAAATAAAATATTGTAGATGGAATTGTATATAATATAAATCATATATTTAAGTAAAAGTCATTTTATAAACTACGGAAAAAATATATAATTAAAAAAAAATAGAAAAAAAATAGTTATAATTGTGAAGGACTTTGCAAAATATGTGAATATTCTTCACACCAATCTACGGTCATAAACTTGAAATACCGAAGATGGAGGATCTATTCTTGCAAAAGTTAGAGGCATAGGAACGATGAATGTGAACGCTCGGTCAATAAACGCAGTCAAATAATTTTTTTGCATTATTTTTCTATTTATATAAATATAAATAGATAAGAAATATATATTTACTAATTAGAAAAAAATAAGTAATTCAAAATTTTTAATTAATACATATGCATTGTCTTCCTAAAAAAAACTTTCTAAAAGAAATATATAAATATATCTAAATTTTTTCCATAAAACTATCTAAATAAAGATATATAAATACTAACAACCACAATGATGGACAAGATAAATTATTAAAGAAAAATTATAATTATTTATTTATAAAAAAAATATCCACCTTATTTGATAATTGGCACTAAAATGATCAAATGAAATAATTATAAAATATAATCTATAGCATTAATGATTTTTTTAACTTTAAAAGAAAAAATTAAATCTGTGAATCTTCAATCTTTCTTTATCTTTATCTTTTTCTTAAATCAAATTAAATATAAAAGTAAAATTTGTTGAGAAATATGCAAAAGAAATGAAAATATATGAATATTCTTCACACTAGTCTACTGTCATAACTTAAAACACCGGAGATGGAACATCTGTTCTTACAAACGTTGGAGGCACAGAAACTATGAATGTGAATGTTCGGTCAATAAATGCAGTCAAATAATTTTTTGGCATTATTTTCCATTTATATAAATATAAATAGATACGAAATATATATTTACTTATTAAAAAAAAATAAGTAATTAATACATATGCATTATCTTCCTAAAAAATACTAAAACTATCTAAAAAAATATATATAAATATATCTAAATTATCTCCATAAAACTATCTAAAAAAGATATATAAATACTAACAACCTTGATACTTCATATTATATATATAAACACAATGATGTGCAACATAAATTATTAAAAAAAAATTATAATTATTTATTTATAAAAAGAAAATACTCACATGATTGACACTAAAATCAATTGAGATCAAATAAAATAATTATAAAATATAATCTATAGAATTAATTATTTTTTTTAATTTAAAAAAAAAATCAAATCGGTGAACCTTCAATCCTTATCTATCTTCATCTTTTTCTTAAATCAAAATAAATATAAAAGTAAATTTTATTGAGAAATATGCAAAAAAAAAAAAAAAAAAAGAGAATATTAGTTTCAACAAAAAAAAAAAATAATCAAAATTAAACTTTATAAAATTTAAAAAGTGTATATATCCACTAACATTATAAAAAAAACTGTAAAAATTATATAAATTTTAAATATCCTACTATAATGATAAAAAACTATATAACAAAAAGAAATCAATAAATCAAAAAAATTTCAAAAATATCATAATAAAAGAATTATGGCTGATCTCAAATATATAATATATATATTACTGGGTGTTTTTGTCAAACAAATGATAGATCATAGATGAAACAGTTGATTCCATGCATTGGTTGATTTTTAAAAAATTATATGTGTTTCTAGATTAGCCACTTGTTTAGAAGTTGTTATTACAATATCATCAATCTATTTTCGGGGCTTCTAGAAAATAGGACAACCCATACTAAAACGACTGATTCTTGTTTTCGATGGTCTTTGCCACGATTCATAAAGTCTAAAAAAATTTCAGATGGCCCCAAAATTAGGCACAGGCAGCCGAATTCATTCCGTTATTCCCTCGCAACCTAAGTTTCGGGGAGGGGGCGGGCCGGCCGGGGGACAGGAAAGCTGGGGGACGGATGTCGCACGTTCTGTCTTCCCTGGGGCCTGTCCGAGGGCCAGATGGACAAGAAACAACTCTGGTTTGCCAATTTGCCCACAGGACGAGTTCCCAGGGCGATTTATGGTTCGGCGGTGACATTCTCGCCTTCACCGTGCCGCTAGTTTCCTTGCAGCTCATCGTCGTCTTCGTCCTCTCCAGCTCCGTCTGGTTCCTCATGAAGCCTTTCCGACAGGGCCTCATTAGCGCGCAGATCATCGTAAGCAACTTGATTAATTATATATGCATAGAGCTGGCAAAAAATTAACACGACCTGATAACCTGACCTGAAATAGTTGAGTTTGGATTGAGATTTTTAATCCAATTAATAATTGGGTCAAGTTGGTTTAACCTATTTAATAAAATGATTAGTTTTGGTCTAGATTTTCAATTTGAAAATAATCGATTTAATTTGTTTAAGTAATAGTATTATTTTAAATTTTATCGATACAATTCAATACTTATGGCCAATTTTATAAAACTAAAAAATAAAATTTAAGCTACAATTCTATAAAATTAGGATTAAACAAAAGATGTGTATTACTCCCTCTGTCCATTAATAATCTATCTATCTAACTGTGAAAAAACAAATAGATACATAGATATGGGACAAATGGAGTATTATTTAGTATTTGTTAATTCGACTCTAAATATTAGTTTCATAATACCAATAAATAATTTTTTCTTTTAATATATATATTATGCATTTCAAAATTTGTTATTAAAAATTGTAATTTGAAATTAAAATTTTAAAACTAGTTAATTAAATGAGTCAGATCAAAATTTTTGTAACCTATTTAAAGCTGATCGGAACCTGAACACTGCATAACCTCATTCGTTTGTCAACCCTATACATACATATACATGCATATTTGATTTGATTATGTATATATAGGCGGGGATCATTATAAGTCACTCCTTCTTCGGGCAAGTTGGAGGATCCCTATTCTCGGAGAAGCTGTTCTCATCTCGGGCAAAATGGATGCTCGAAACATCGGCCAACATGGGATTGATGTTCTACATGTTCATCCTCGGTGTCCAAATCGACCTCAAGCTGTTGCGCAAGCTCAACAAGAACGCCGTCGTGATTGGCGCTTCGGGTTTCCTCCTCCCTCTAATAGCCGGCTTGACATCGGTCATCGTCGCCTTCCAAATCAAGGGCCTCCACGCCTCCGTCATGCAGTCGCTCCCCATCGTCGCGTCCATGAACGCCATCTCGTCGTTCCCTGTCATTACAAGTGTCTTGTCCGACCTCAACATCCTCAACTCGGACATCGGCCGCATCGCCACCCTCGCGTCCCTCGTCAGCGACATTTGCAACTACATCCTCTCGTTCGTCCTCGGCACCGTCGCCATGTGCGTCGCGACGAAGAAGCTGGCGGCGCTGCTGCCCGTGCTGTCTGTCGTCGTCTTCTTCTTCGTCATTCTGCTCGTCCTTTGCCCGATGATCATCTTATCCGCCCGCCAGGCGGCCAAGAACGGGCAGCAGCTCAAGCAGACTGAGTTTCTGTTGATCGTGCTTATGGTCATGGTTTGCGGTCTTGGCGCCCAACTTATAGGGCAGCCGGCCGAGCTTGGAACGTTTGTTTTAGGTGTGCTCATCCCCGACAACATCGGGAGCGCCTTTCTCGGAAAGATGGATATTATTACATCCGGCTTGCTAGTCCCGGCCAAATTCATGATCATCGGGATGAAGATCAACATCTTGGATGTGAAGATGGCTTCCGGGGCGGTCATTGAGATGGTTATTTTGATATCGTATACGGTAAAGTTTGCAACGGTGTTTCTTTTAGGTCGTCGTTACAATATCCCGGCGAGGAATGCCGTATGCCTTGGCCTTATTATGTGTTGTAGAGGAGTCATCGAGGCTACGCTATCTAGCACCTTAGAGGAGGACGGGGTAAGTAAGTACGTAGTGTGTATATATATATACTCGGAGGGGATCGTCAGTCCCAAACATCTTCAATGACATAGGTTGATTTTTGGGACCGACGATCCCCTCCGATATATAATACACTGGTTCGGTTACTCTATGTATTGTGTCTTTCCTATACCGGATAGGCACGTACATTGGGAATAGGATAACTGAACCATGAATATATATGTTCAAGTTTCTTCGATTACAACTTAATGAATAAATGATCGATTTGATATATTAATATAATGCAAATACCGCAGGTGATAAACGCGGAAGCGTACACTCTTATACTACTGTCGATGCTGATTGTCACCGGAATAGCGAGGCCTCTTATCGCATTCTTGTACGATCCTTCGGCTAAGTACCTCGGCCACCACAACAATTGCACCGATCTCCTCAAGCACCATAACAATAGAGCCGATTTACGCGTGTTGGTTTGCCTCCACAACGCGGAGAGCGTGCCCACACTCATCGATCTGCTCACGGCCACGAGTCCATCTCTACCCGACCAGACCACGTCGGTCTTTGTCCTAAACCTCGTCGAGCTAAAGGGCCGGGCCTCATCAGCCTCCATGCTCGAAGCCAACACGGGAAGAGGCCAACTCACCGTGTCCAAATCATGGTCGAGACACGTGAAGAAAGCGTTCGACTTGTTCGCGGATCGACACCGAGAAAGCGTCAATGTCCGCCACTTCACATCAGTGACGCCGTTCTTGAGCATGCACGACGACATTTGCTCGATGGCGCTCGAGGAGAAGGCCAACATCGTCGTCGTACCCTTCCACAAGCAATGGACGATCAACGGCGGCATCGGAACCAACTCGCACTCCGTAAGAACCGTCAATTACAACGTCCTCTCTAAGTCCCCGTCCTCCGTCGGCATCCTCATCGACCGCGGATACATTTCCCGGAATCAGCGAGTCGGCGCCCACCTGACGCTCTTCCAAGTCACCCTACTCTTCCTTGGCGGCGTCGACGACTGCGAGGCCTTAGCCTTCTGCTACCGCTTCGTTGGAAAATCGAACGTCTGGCTAACGGTGATTTGGATTCGCGGCGACGACGACGAGAGAGAGAACATATCCCGGGAGGATATAGAGATGCTCAACAAATTCAGAGCAGCAACAAATGGACATGGAAATGTAATATTTCGAGAAGAGAGAGTTAAGGATGCAATAGGGACGACGCAAGTGATAAGATCGATGGACGAGAGATACAACAGCAGTAGCTGTTACAGTAGTAGTTACAGTAGCTGCAATGGCGGAAGCGCGTGTGATTTGTGCGTAGTGGGGAGGCACCACGACCCGAATTCGACGATGGTTCAGGGGCTAATGGAGTGGAACGAGCTTCCGGAGCTCGGGCTGATCGGGGGGATGCTGGCGAGTCCTGACTTTTATTTCTCGGTCTTGGTGGTTCAACGAGAGCCGCGCCAGACGGCTTCCGAGAACAAGGATGTTCTGCGCTCTATTTCTTGCATGTATCGACAGCCTACTACTGCCAATTATAATATTAATAACGACTACCCGCCGCACCGTCGCCCGGCTTCTTTCATGCTAAGGTAGCTAGCTAGCTACTTTACTTTTTTGAAGAAACCAATATGTAGGTTTTATTTATACAATACATTAATTATTTTATCTTTTTATAAAAAATCAAATTAAATACTAATTTTTTATTTTTATTTTTTTCCAAATCAAAATTTCGAAAACGTTCGAAAACCTCTATAAACAAAGCACATGTCTGTGTGTATACATGTATATGTTCTTCAATTTTTTTATTTGTAATGTTGAGTCAATATTATATATATATATATATATTCAAGGAAATTGATAATTGTTGAAATACTATCCAAAGTGGCATTATTTTAGATTTTTATAAGAATACATTATTTAAGGGAGTTTTGGTATTCTCCTCATGTTGATTAAAATTCAGAACATCCTAAATATTTTTAATCTGTTGGATCAATTTTACTGACAATTCAATGATTGAGTTTGATTGAGGATATTTTGGTAATTTGAAAAGTAATTAAGATATCTAATTAAAAAAATTAATTAGAAAAAATTATCATAACCACCTCCGATAATTTCGGAATTTATTTAAACAATGTCCAAGTAAATGCATTATGATATATTATATCACATCGCCGATTATGATATGACAATTATTTAAATAAATTAAAAATCAAATATATATATATATATAAATATCCTTCTCACCCCATCTTATTTAAATAAATTAAAAATCAAATATATATATATATATATAAATATCCTTCCCACCCCATCTATTTACCAAATCCTAAAGTACCCTATCTCCCGTCGTGCTGCCTCTGCCTACAACATAGTCTGCCGTCGCAGCCGCTAACCTCTTCAGCCACGCCCACTGCCGCAGCCACGCCCACTGCCGCCGCCGACCTCTACAGCCATGCCCGCCACTGTCAAATAATTGCCTCCGCCATCAATTCCTTCTCTATCTGCACATCCGCACTAGACGGAAGTCGGCGATGACGTGCAATTCCTCTTCTATTTAGGAGTTCACATTTGACGAATCTTCCAATGACGGATTCAACTAAGTGAGATTCTGAGGCTTCTATTAAACCCAAAACGAAGATAACGAAACATATTCAAGTACCATCCGTGTCAAGAAAGATAGCAGATTTCAACAACGATAAACTCTTTTCGGCTAAACAGACAGATTTGGTGGTTGTGTTTTTAATACTGCGTAATATTTTATGGTCACCAGGCGTATATGTGCATTCTTAATTAGTCTCTTTTAGAAAAAAAAAATATCAATACAGTTATTCCTAAACATATTTTTGTTGGCCTCTGGACACGTACGATTGATATTCATGGCACATATGTGTTTAACTCATGATAGACTTATGATACCAAACCTTATTGTGCACATTTTTATTTCATGTTATAGTTCATATTTATGATTTACATATTGCATAGTTATGATATATTGATCAGATTTAAATGATGGACTATGTTAAATATATTTTTCACCGTTATGTTTATAAATATGATATATAAGTAGACATGATAAATACATCAAATATAAATGATGTAAGTTGCATATAGGGATGTTGCACGTATAGTTATGATATATTTCATTTTATGATTTCTATTTATGATTTATATATTGCATAGTTATGATGTATTGTTCAAATTTAAATGATGGATTATGTTATATATATATTTCACCATTATATTTATATGTATAACTTAGTGACAACATCCTGTGAACATGTTCGTTTATTATTAGGGTAAAACTTTACTATTATTTTTGCACCTTTTTTTATTGCGGCAATAATAAATGTATTGTATATTTGAAGATCACTTTTTGCCTTTTTGCATTTGTTTTTGTACGGAAAATTTTTGTCTATACGCATATCTACAAAATGACTTGTACGCATCATTGGAGTTTGCAAAAGATGCATTTATCCAATAGTCGTCACCTGAAGTGCCAAATGACATATATTGTTCTAAAATATGCTGTTTATTTTAATGTAATATCGTTTACGGAATTCAGTATTATGATATTATTATGATATTGCTTCTGCGCGAATATTGAGTAACTAAATTACTTGCTTTCATTTTTTTTTACGTAGTATATGATTGGATAAATATTTTATATATTTTTTAAGCATTTAAATAATAAAAAAATAATAGATATAATTTAACTTGAAGACTGGTTCAACTCTTAAGGGCAAATTATTTTAATTCAACACTTTAAAGTTTGAATAAAGTATACTCTTTATCTTATTGATTTCAAATATAATTTCATAGAGCAATCGATTAAATCATATTAGAAAATTAAAATGTTTAAGTGAGTACTTATATAAATTGTACAAAAATATAATAAAAATTTAAAATCGTCTAAAGAAAATAATGTAAACAAATTTTATTTTATTTTTTTAAATTTCAGGCTACATATCATTCGCACAAATATTGGATTCGACAATTAAAATAAATTTAATGTATCTAATTGAACTAATGGAAGCTTGCAAGTCTTCTATTGTTTCAACCATTGATTAAATAATTCTTGTGTGCAACTATTGATACGTTGATTGACTAATACGATTATGATGCATATATATTTAGAATATGATGTTTAAAAGATAGGTATATGATGTAATAAAAATTCGTCAATACGTTACTTTCGCGATCGATAAAAAAACTTACCCCGTTCTGTAATTTCTAAAACGTTATCTTCGTCCACAACACACTGGAACAGACCGAAATGCATATCATTTTGCTTCATTTTGTTCTACGCTCCGACTTATTCACAATTTATTTTCTTGGATAGATGTCGGTGAAAGAAGATGTAGTTATCTTTTTTTTTTTTTTTTGGATGTGAACCGACTAAAATTATGAATACGACTTGCATCTATCTGTATTTATATTCCCTTAATTTATGCTAAAACAAAGTATTGATTATTAATTATTAAAATCAAATTACATATCTACCCCTAACTGCAATCTCATCCGTTGATTAAAATTTTGATCGGACGGTTGACAATTTTTTAGAATTGTACTGAATATTGTATTCAGGACCGTACCGGATTGTATTTAAGGTGTCTTTCTCCGCCCAGGTTACTGTTTGTACAGTAATTGAGTCCAAACCTGGACTGTCTGGTTTTGGGGACATGACTTGTTTTCTATTTTTTTTTATTTAGTTTTTTCTTAATTATAAATATAAATTCTTTTTATAATAATTATAATTTAATGAAATATAAATAATATATATATCATTTCGTAGATAATAGAATTTCTATAATACAAATAAATAAAAATTTAGACATATATAGATAGATATAATATAAATTTATAATCAAATTATACAAATTAATACACATTGATATTATTATATACATTATCATCAAATCAATACACATTAAAACTCTCCAAATTCAACTCAAACTTAAGTACAAAAAAACACGTAAATTCAAACTTAATTCAAAATTCAAATAAAAATCAAATCCAAACTCAAATTTTCTCAAACCCCCCTAAAGAAACGCACCCTTAGTTTCTCGGTTTTATAATAAAATTCAAAATAATTTTCATTTATGTTTTTATTTTCTCTCGAAAGAATATTACATTTGATAGTTATTTTTATCTAATTTTTTTTTTTAAATATTGAGTGTGTTCAATGTGTAAATTTGTATGATTTTTTTTATTTTTATTTTTTATGTTAGATTAAAAAATCATGTCACTATATAAAAATAATACTATTTTATATTAAATTAATAATTTTTCTAGAAATGAATCAAATATATATTATACTATATTACATTAATATATAATTATATTATACTTTTTTAATAATATTCATGATAAATTATATCAACCAAAATTTGTTTGGATACGCCCATCAAAATAACCCAAAAACATTAGAATAATCCAAAAACATTAGAATAAAGTTCGAATACAAAAAGACAAGCTTCTTTCTAGCATGCATGATGCATCACATCTATAATCTTAATACAATTGAGATGGATTCGATGCCAATATTATTTATCATCATTGTATTGAATTTATATGTTTTTCACAAGTTGATGTACTTCTTCCGTTCCAATACAATAGTCTTGTTTACCATTTTTGTCCGTCCCAAAACAATAGTCTTATTTCCATAAATAACCATATTACCATAAAACTACCCCTACTTTTTCATTTTTATTACACAATTGCCACTACTTTTTACACTAATACACTCACAAGTGCTAAATGATGGTGATTGTTCTACGACAAGTGCTAAGATCAACTTCAACTCACTTTCATTAAATGATATATAATTTTATATTTTAAAAAGTTATATATAATTTTATTTTTTGAAATAATTTATAATTTTATTTTTTAAAAGTGATGTATAATTTAATTTTTTGGAAAATGATATATAATTTTATTTTTTTTGAAATTGATATGTAATTTTATTTTTTTTAAAATTATTTTATTTGTTATAGTTATTAATTTATAAATGTTAATTTTCATATATGTAATTTTTAAATAAAATATAAGTTATATGTGTATGGATTATAATGTAAAAATAATTAAAGTTGTGGTGTAATTTATAAATATGAAAAGTTATATAAAATAATATAAAAGAAGAATATACCGTGAATATACTTTTTAGAGTAAAAATTGAAGTTTATGGTTTGAGTAAAAGTACTGTAGATCAACTGCATTTATACTGTAGCAACTGAAAAAATGGAGTGATGGGTTGGAGATGGTCTAACGCCAATTTTGAAGATTTTTCTAGCAATTCTTGCAAGCTTATGTTGTGATATTTTTTAAATTTTTAATTAGAAAAAATCACATATTTGCTCTTTTGTCATAATTTATAAATCTTGATATTTTAAGTTGTTTTTAATGGTAAAACATGAGCCACATTTATGAAGATGGGAGAAAATGTGTTATTGTGCCATCATTTAAAGATGGTTATTGACATGCAATAATTAACTGAACTCTAGCTTGATTTGTCCTCTAAAGGCTGCAAAAAACTATTTTGGTGTAGAAGAAAAATCAATTTTGAGGGTGTGTTTCTTTTGACGAGTTTAAGAAAAAATTTGGTTTGATTTGATATTAAAATAATTTATGATTAGATATTTTGTGAAAGAAAAAAAAAAATATTTTTTTGGAAACGTA